CAAACATAGCTTGAGAAAATCCAAATTCTCTATACTTAAAAAAAAAAACAATCAATCCTTTTATTGATCTATAGCAACATCAATAAGCATGTCTTTTTCTTGCAATTTTTTACTAACTAAATTGACAGCATGCAAAATATCATACCAAATAATCACAGCTAATAAAAACTCAAAGTTTCCAAGTCCAAGTTTTGCTAAATGATTAGCTTGAGTCCTAATTTTAGAATCATTATCTTGTTCAGCTAATTGGAGTAAAGCATCTCTTACTTCTACAACTTGAAATCGTATAGCTTTAACACTTTCAACTCGACTCTCCCACTGTGTGGTTGACAATGGTTTAAGAGTTAAACCCTTTACATTATCTTTTAAAATTTTCCAGCGCTTTGTGGAATGAGAAAACAAGTTTTAAATACATTGTATCACACCAAAAAAATCCCGTGCTTTCCTACAATAGTCCGCAATATCACAAAGTGTCAAGTTAAGACAATGACAAGCACATGGTGTGTACAAAGTTCTAGGATTTATATCTAATAGTCTTCTTTGTACACCTTGGTTTTTCCCTTTCATATTGGATCCGTTATCATATCCTTGTCCTCTCACATGATCAATATTAAGTTTAAGATCTTTTAACACATTTTGTAATTCTTCAAAGAGTGTCCTTCTCCTAATGTATCATCAACTTGTAAGAATTCCAAAAAGAATTCTTCTACTTTTATTGGATGTGTAGAAACATCCACACATCTCAATATCAAGGTCATTTGTTCTTGATGACTTATATCAGGTGTACAGTCAAGAATAACAGAAAAATACTTTGCTTTTTTAATTTTTTGAATGATTGCACTTTTGATTTCATGTGCTAACCTTGCAATCAGCTCATTTTGGATCCTTGGACTAAGATAATGATGATAAATTTCTTTATCATCAATCCGTCTCAAGTGTTCTTTCATGATTGGATCCCATTTCGCTATCATTTCAATTAAACCTAAAAAACTTCCATTGCAATCTTCTTGAATCCTCTCATTCTTCCCATGAAATGCCAAGTTATACTTGCCAATATATGTTACAGCAGCTATTATTCTTATTAATACACCCTTCCAATGTTCTTTCTCTGTATTAATGTGCTGCTGAACATGTTTATCAATTGTAACATTTTTTTGCATTCTCATTTGCAAATCAATCCAAGTGTTCATGTTAATCATGTGCTCACCACTTGTTTCATGTTCTTTAAGTCTCACACTAAGGTGTACCCAATCATTAAACCCCTCATTAGCTAATGAGTTTATTTTTGGGCTCTTATTAAAAAACTTGCAACAAAAGCAAAACACCTTATCCAAATGCTTGGAATACACCAGCCATTCCCTATCATACTTATCTCCATTTGATAAGTAACGAGTGTAAAACGTTGAGGAGAAATGTCTAGAAAATTTATCACTAGGTCCCTTCTCAATTGATAGATCTCTTCTTGGACCATTTGCCAATAATTCATCTCTTGATTTTGAATCTAGACCATCCCAAGTCCTAGGATCATAAATATCTAAAGGAATAGATTGACTTGGTTGTTCCTCCTCATTGATTACATTATCATTTTCAACATGAGCATGACCTAAGTTTTCCACATTTCATTAGCCTGTTCATCATGACCTACATTTTCAAGATTTTCAACTAAACCTTGTGGTTCTTTAATAATGAATTTATCAAAAGCACCTCTCTGAGATTGAGTTAATTCTTCAACTCTTCTCTTTTGTTGGCGCTTTCTATATCCAGATGAGTGTTTTCTTTTAAACATTTTTCTAATATAGCAAAATAACACACATCATAACAAAAAAAGAAGACAATAGAACCTGATTTTTGCAGCTTTCATCGATTTTGACTGTTTCACTTCAGCTGATGTTCACAAAACAAAAAGTCTGTTAAAATAATTACAAAAACAATATATGAAAAGCATTGACAAATTAGGGATAGAGATTCACCTGATTTTTTAGGTTTCTTCTTGCAATGATATGATGGCTAATTCCGAATGCAACATAATTTCTAAATTCTAATATGAGAGAGAGAGAGAGAGAGAAAGAGAGATGCACACATCACGCCTTTGACTTGCCAAAGAGTAAAGAAGATTGCGTGTTTTGGATGGAAGACGGGAGAATCAAGAAGGAACAAATATCTACTTGTTAGGAAATAATAATAATATTTTTGGAATAAAAAAAATATAATAATTATTGATGAAACTTTTAAATTAAACATTTGGAGGCCATCAAAAGTTAAGAATATATATTATATAATATAAAATAAATAAAAAAAAAAAAAAAAAAAAAAATAACTTGCTGGGCTTTTAAAAACATTTGGAGGCCCCTAAAATTTGGGGGCCCTGTGCGGTCGCACAGCCCGCACATGCTATGGGCCGCCTCTGGAATGCAGAGAATTGGAGAGCTGAAAATGGCGAAGAAATAGTTGAACGTTGCTATTATTTTCTGGGCATAGGTAATTTCTACTTCTTCTTTCTATTGTTGTTGAAGGCTGTATTTATGAATTTGATGTGTAGGTGGAGCTGAAAGACTAGATGTTGATGCGGCTGGGCATAAGTTCACGTTTTCACTGCACACCATGACAAAAATCGATGCTCTGAGGAGACTGTTTCTGGTGTGTGTGCTTTCTCTGTTTCAATTTTATGTTTGATATTATGGATTCATGGCATCCGTGTAAAATAGTAGTGGGGTTTACTTGAGGTTGGATTGTGTATGGTACCAAACATCGAACAAGAGTAGCTCTGTTTTTTCTTTTTCATATGTAAGTTTGTTTGAAAGTTGAATGAAAGATTTACATGATGACCTACTTTACAATAAAATGTTGAAAATGACAGTTTCAAGTCGTCTTGGTGTGTGTACTCTGAGAGAAACAGGATTAGAAACACAGACCTGCTATTGGAACTTCATCAAACAGGGTACTACATAGAGAATGGATGCTACACTGTGGGATTGGAAGATGGTATATACATAGTTAGAACAAACATATCAAATTTTCTTTTCTTTCCTTGTCCTTATTTCTTAATTTCACAGTGTTCAACTGTCATTTAAAATCAGTGCATTGTTTGATGTTTCAATGTCATCTGGTTTCCCAGTATCTTTACTGTTACTGTATATGGTGCTTTCCTACCCCTACATATATTCTGTCGTCTTCATGCTTTGTGTGCATTTCGATGGTGCCTTTTTGTTGCTCTCTGTGTGCTGGTCCTGTGGCCATCATTTGATGTAATACTAGCAGATCAGGTTTTTAAGAAGACAACAGAGGTATTTGCACCTATTTGATATCATGTTGTTTAATATGTTACATCTTTATGTCCAGGTTTTGTTTTATTGTCATTTTCCAGATTTATTGCTAGCTCAATACACACACACACACACACACACACACTATTTCAAGGAGTACATATAGGAAACCTTTAGATTTCATAGAAGAAATGACAACTGGTCTCATTCCATATCTTGGCTTTATCGTATTTATCTGATGTGTCTTGAGCACCTTTTTAGTGTTCTTTTGCAGTGATCATATTTCTAACTCATGATTAAATAAAATAAAAAAAAAAAAAAAAAAAAACTGCAGGAATGGCAGATAAGATTCTTGTTAATAGCAAATTCACAGCATCTATGTTAGCAAAGACATTTAAGAATCTTAACGCATGAGGAATTCAGCCAGTCTTTACCCAGCTGTTAATGTGAAACAGTTGATGAACCCACCAATTCGTATGAGTAACGAACATGTTTGTATATGGTTTACAGTTTCCTTGATGATTTTCATTTCCGAATTTTATGTGGTAGCTTACCGTTGTTTTCGTGCTTTGATATTTTCCTTGTTGTAGGATAAATTTTCTGTGGATAAACTGTTTTGAGATGAAAAAGAATATAGACTTGGAAATTTCAGCTTTCGCTATGCTTTGTACCCTTGAAAGAGATGCGCTTCAAGTTCCTAATCTAACTGAAACTTCCCTGAAAATTGCAGGCAAGTTCCTATCACTGAGTAATCTATTAATCTTACTGATAGACGTGTTATACTAAGTTATCAACTAATAGGTAAGAGAAAAAAAATAATTTATAGGGATATGCGTGTTCCTTCATTACTATATAACCTTGTCGAAAGACCATATGATATTAATAGACTATCAATAACCAAGCAGAAGCATGCAGTAATTACGTGGTTGTGATATTAAGCTTTCCCTTTAGGTTCATTTGTGTGTTGAAAGCTTTATGGATCTTGCAATTTAACTATAATATCTCGACGTGGAAAGACATTTTTTTTCTCTCAGTAAATTATGAAACATTAGCCTGTAGATGTTATATCTAGAATTTAGGTGTCACTATTGGATTGCTTCAGATTATGTAGCGGGCTTGTGATGGCCTACATTCCTAGTCAAGCCTGGAGTTGTTATTTGTGGAAGAAAACGAAGCTTATGTAGAATGAATAGCAGTAAACTATTATGCTGTTATCTGATTTAGTATCAGATGGCTCTTTTAAAGCAAACTTGTCTGACATACCTGCGAATCGAAACCCTGGATAGATGTTCAAATTTCCTTTTGTTATTAGAATATATTAGTGCTTAGTTAGTTGTGTGTGTGTGACATATGTCAAGATATATTGAGATGTCAAAATGAATTTAGTTTGACTGAAGGATAGTATTAGGGAATCTCCTACATCAAAGGAGATCAGTTCATCAACAACTCAATCTGCTCCATCAACAACACAATCGGCTCCTCCGTATGAAAGTCAACTGTGATATATATGCTAAGCTGTCTTTCCTATTCTATTTGATTAGGATTGATTCAGTCACTCAAGATTGATTGTATTTACCTTATTAGGATTGTATTCAAACTGTATATAATCATAGACCTGTACCTGTAAACATATCAATGAAATATACCAATTGATCTCAGTCCTTATATGGTATCACAACCCAAAAACTCCAACGAGCAAATTTTTTTTCCTGATCCCTCTCTTCTCTGTCTTCATCCATGGCCACTGACGCCTCTGCAACCATGGCCCCTGACACCTCTGCAACCATCCCTGTACCAGAGATCAACTCCTCCACTCCCACCTTGATCACGATCAATGCTACCGCCCAACTACCCGTGAAACTCACACCCACCAATTACTCATCATGGCGTGCTCAATTCAACGCCCTCCTCTACAGCTACGACCTCATGGGTTATGTGGACGGTTCTCGTCTCTGCCCATCAACCACTCAACTCGTGCTTCGCACCTTTTGGATTCGGCAAGATCAACTCCTTCTCCATGCGATTCTTGCTTCCGTCTCACCGCAGGTCATCTCCCTTATCGCCTCTGCCAAAACGTCCAAGGAGGCTTGGGACAAGCTTCTCCGTCTCTTTGCTAGCAAAGCCCGTGCTCGCGTTCTTGGTCTCAAAGAACGCCTTACTCTCTTGCGCCGTGAGAACAAGTTGTCTCCGAGTATCTGCAAGAAGTCTGCGTTATTGCAGATGAACTCGCCATCATTGATGTTCCCCTCTCCGATGACGATCTCCTCCTCTACATTCTTAATGGTGTTGGATCTGACTTCAAGGAAATTGCTGCGGTGGTTCGTTCCCGCGACACCTCAATTTCTTTTGAAAACCTCCACTACTACAAAAAGGAAAAACACGACGGGAATTCACCGTCGTGTATTCTGTTTTCAAATGGTCGTAGAATCCACCGATATCTTTTCCATAACCAAACCACGACGGTGAATATCCGTCGTTGTTAAAACAAAAAACGTCATCAAAAATAAAAACCGACGTCTTTGTGCTGCAAAAGACATAAAAAAACAGTCGAGGATGAGAATAGACGACCAACTCCAACAAAAAAACGTCGTTAAAAAGGAAACAGATGACAAATATAAATACAACGTCTTTACAATCATAATAGACGACGTTATTGACACCTACTACGTCACAACATTTCCCACAACCGTCGTAAAATAAATTTTCCACTTCGATTTTTCTATGAATTATGACGTGGAAATAGATGTCAGGGTCATTACTTACGACGCATGTATTTACAGAGACGACGTTGAATTGGATAAATAACGTCGGTTCCAAATAAATGAGAGCCGTATTACAGAATTTATACGTCATATTTTGAAAATAAACGACGTGGAAAAAATGATGGGGTCATTAATTACGACACAGTAATTTATAAGGACGACGTTGTCGTCTATATACAACGTCGGTACCATGAAAAAGACCGTCGTGTTTAATAATTTATACGTCTTCATTTAAAAAATTGACGTCGTCTAATTCATATATCTTAACGCCGACAAGTTTAATGGACTTCAAATACCGTCGTAAAATAAATTTTCCACTTCGATTTTTCTACGAATTATGACGTGGAAATAGATGTCAGGTTCATTAATTACGACGTATGTATTTACTGAGACGACGTTGAAATGAATAAACAACGTCGGTTCCAAATAAATGAGAGCCGTATTACAGAATTTATACGTCATATTTTGAAAATAAACGACGTGGAAAAAATGATGGGGTCATTAATTACGACACAGTAATTTATAAGGACGACGTTGTCGTCTATATACAACGTCGGTACCATGAAAAAGACCGTCGTGTTTAATAATTTATACGTCTTCATTAAAAAAATTAACGTCGTCTAATTCATAAATCTTAACGTCGACAAATTTAATGGACTTCAAATACCGTCGTGAATTCATCCTTTTCCACTTCGTTTATGAAAGAACATGCGACGTGGTAAATTCATGACGACGTCGTCTTTTGTAACGTTCAGGTTAAAGTTCTCGTCTTTTAGACGTCGGTGTTATGGGATTGGAGTCGTGTTATTTTGAATTACATGGCGGTTCTTTATGCTTGTCCGACGTGTTATCCTGGATAACTGTTTCACAATAGCGTCGTGGTTCTTCATTGTTACTTTGCTTTAAGACGTCGGTAAATATATTGCGGTCGTTGAATGCTCCAAAACGTCGTTATTTATTAGAACAGACGTTTGTTTTTCACATTTTTATCAAAACCGTCGTGTTTGTAATCTGGAACCAGTAATTTTGTACTGATTGTTTTGTGGCCAAAACCTGTATAATGAAAGTGAAGAAATCACATTACAATATATTACAAAATTAATGTCATACACTGCCAATTACATAAAGCATCATTCAACCCATATATCTTCACACCCATCTCGAATATTTTGACTCCCTAACTCAACCACCACTTCATCAAATGTGTCAACATTTGGCATCCCCCTAGTAAATGGCTCACACTCAATTCTCACATCACCTAAGACATCATCACCAATAACATCATTATATTCTCTATTAGGCATTGATAACACTACCGACCAACCACGATGCATCGGGTCGTCAACAAAAAATACTTGTTTGACTTGAGAAGCCAAAACAAATTGGTCATTCCTATGTCCAATTTTACTCAAATCTACAAGGGTAAATCCAAGTTCGTCCACTACAAGACCAGAAGTATTATCAATCCAATCACACCTAAAGACTGGGATTGTAAACTTTTGGTAGTCAAGGTCCCAAATTTCTTGAATGACACCATAGAAACCCATATTTGAGAGAATTGGGTTTTTATCCTTGGCACTAGCAACTTGCATAGTATGTGCAAGTAAATAAACTCCACTATTTTGAGTTGTCCGCACATCATCTTGTGCCTTGATGTTGAATTTAATACCTTTAATGAGATAGCTCCTATATAATGGCACTGCCATGTTTGGACCAGCTGCTAGCCACCTTAAATTTTCTGATACGCCATGATTGTCTTCCTCATTAAGTTCACTTTGAACCTGCAAATTAATCATAACTTAATTCAATCTAACATAGAAAGAAGAAAATTAAAAGTCCAATATGTTATTCAATAACATATACCTTGAAGCGTAGCCATTGAATGAAAGTGCTATTGTGCTTATCCTGCAGCCACTTTGTTCTCTTTCTAAATTTTGGATAAGCGGTCTGGATGTGGATCATATGTTGCCTACATGACACACAAAATTCAAGTATTACGGTCCCAAACATATAAGATAAACATAAGAAATAATTTAAAATGGAAACTTAAAGAATAAAACTCATACGTACTCGATATAAGGTAGGACTTCCTCCGTATTCTCCAAGACATATAGATGTGCTTGGTTCAACAGGTCCCGATCAACTACGCTCACTGTGCAACCTGATAATGGCTTTGAAACTCCCATCTTTTGGCTTGAAGGCACTCCAACTGTACTAACATCAGATAAATGCTCGGTACAAAACTCTACAGCTTCTTCAGCTATATACCGCTCAGCAATGCAACCTTCGGGACGAGTACGATTCTGAACATACCCCTTTAGCACTTTCATATATCTTTCAAACGGATACATCCATCTAAAATATACTGGCCCACACAGACGAACTTCTCTGACAAGATGTACTACTAGATGAACCATGATATCAAAGAATGAAGGGGGAAAGTACTTCTCAAGCAAACACAAAGTAACTACTACATCTTCTTCCAACTTATCTAGCTTGGAAACATCAACAGTCTTTGCACATATAGCTTGAAGAAGAAGCACAAACGAGTTATTGCATACCTTGCAGGCTTTCCAAAACAGAACGAATTGCCACAGGGAGCAATTGTTGCATTAAGGTATGACAATCTGTGATTTAAGGCCAAGAAGTCTTGAATCTTGTAAAGATACAAGATTTTTTATATTTGAAGAATAACCTTCAGGGACCTTCATACCATAGAAAGAATTGCAAACCTCTCTCTTCTCTGCTCTTGACAAATTCCAAGGCCCGGGAGGCAAACGAGTACGTCTTTCTCCATACTCGGGTTGCAAATCAGTTTTGACCCCCATGTTCAATAAATCTAATCGAGCAGCAATCCCATCTTTATTTTTTCCAGGGATCTCCAGCAATGTACCAATGATACTATCGCAAACATTCTTCTCAATGTGCATAACATCTAGGACATGCCTCACAGGAAGGTATTTCCAATACTCGAGATCAAAGAATATTGATTTCTTCTTCCAACAAACTCTGTCACCATCTTCAACCATATGCAGCACTTCTTCTCCGGTTAATGGCTCAGGAGGCGTGCCATATTCAGGTTTCCCATTAAAAGCTGCACGTTGCCTCCTATATGGATGATTGATCGGTAACCATTTTCTATGCCCAATGTAACAAATTTTGTGGCCATTTTTCAACCTGTGACTAGGTGTATCATCGCCGCATATTGGACAAGCTTTATATCCTTTAACAACACAACCAGATAAGTTTCCATAGGCGGGGAAATCATTAATTGTCCACATTAATGCAGCTCTGAGTGTAAAGTATTCTCCATTATGTGCATCATACACTCCTCCAATCCCATCCCACAAAGATTTTAAATCATCAATCAAAGGCTCCAAGTAGACGTCTATATCATTTCCGGGCTGTTTAGGACCGGAAATCAATAAGGTCAACATCATGAACTTTCGTTTCATGCACAGCCATGGAGGGAGATTATATGTAACTAAGATAACTGGCCAGCAACTATATCTGCTACTTAGAGAACTGTGGGGATTGAATCCATCAGATGAAAGAGCCAATCTCAAGTTTCTCGGCTCATTACCAAACTCGGGCCATTTATCATCAAGAAGTTTCCAAGACGGGGAATCCGCTGGATGAGACATATAACCGTCAATTGATTTTCTAGCAGCATGCCAAGTCAAACTCTTAGCGGTCTCATGTGATCGAAACATCCTTTTAAACCTTGGAATTGGAGGAAAATACCACACCACCTTCGCTGGCACACCCTCTTTCAAGATTGAATCTTTGCCTTCCTTCCACCTTGAGATACCACAATTAGGACAATGAGTTAAATCCTCATACTCCTTCCTATACAAGATGCAATCATTGGGGCATGCGTGCATTTTCTCATAACTCAGCCCCAATGCACACAAAGTCTTTTTTGCCTCATACATAGAGGCCGGTATTGTATTTCCTTCTGGAAGCAAATCGCCTTGAAGTATCAATAATTCTGTAAAACAGACATCACTCATCCCATATTTTGCCTTCAAATTATACAACTTCACTAATGCCGATAACTTCGTGTACTTTCTACAACCAGGGTACAATGGTTGATCTCCATCCCCAATCACATTGGCAAACTCATAAGGATCAGATCCAAAATCACCAAAATCATTATCATCCATCTCTATTTCTTCAGACACAAAACTGTACCTACTATGGTCATCATCTTCTTCAACATTTCTACTAGCATTAGTAGCTGCTTCCCAAGGTTCTCCGTGAAATGTCCAATTCTTATAGCTTTGGTCAACTCCATTAAAGTATAAGTGATCCCTTATAATTCCAACCCCAAACAATTTCAAATTAACACATTTAACACATGGACAACGGATATGTGTGGTAGTTAGAAGATTTTCTACAGAAAAGTTCAAAAATGCTTCCACCCCTAACTCATATGCCTTCGATCTTCTATCCGAGTGCATCCATGACTTATCCATCTCCGACACTATACCCTATTATATATAATAAAGTGAAAAGACAAGCAATGACCATCACTATAGCAGATTATATAAAGTCTAATAGCAAGTAATATACAACAGAGACGACGGTTTTTAAACAAAAACAGACGTATTTGACATATATAGACGACGGATTTTACGTCGTCTAATTATAACCACGACGGTAGTTAAATAACACCGTCGTGTATAAGTAATAAAAACGACGGTTTAAAGTAAAAACCGTCGTCGTATGCCTGAAAACGCGTCGATATCCAGTTTATTTTCAAGATCCCAAAACCCTATTAAGAACACAACATAGACATGAAACCAAGCAAGAAACCAACATATACATGAAACCAACATATACTAAGCATGAAAACAATAAATCCATTCCCAATTCAACATAACAGAGAGTGATTAAAAGATCCGACAAAATGAAATCCATTCCATATTCAACATAACAGAGAGTGATCAAGAAAACATTAAACAGAAAATCCATGAACCCATACCTCCAACAACATTATTAACAGATCGCAAAACATATACCTAAAACCCTTTAACAAAACAACGTAATATATCATTCAATGAATTTACAAGGGGAAGAGAGGGTTTGTACTTACAGGTTGGCAGAGCTCACAGATTATGACCAAATTGGATTTGACACAGCCTGGCCCAACTTTGAATTAGAGATGAAGTGAGAGAGCGAAATGTTATGTTGCGCGAAATCTGAAAATTTTAGGGTTCAGGGTTAGAAGTATAAAAATAAGAGCCAAATCTGAAAATTTTAGGTCCCGCGAATATTTTAAGAAAGCGCGCTTTTTAAAACATCGACCGAAAAAACAAGCGTCGTTAAAATTTAACATTAAACATGACGCTTATTACATTAAGGACGTCGTGGTAAAACTATGTACCACGCAAAATCAAAAAAGGCGTTAAAACTATGAAAAACCACGTCGGAGTTAAGTAACTAACGACGTTGTAAATAATAATAAACGACTTACGTGTAAACAAAACGTCGTTTAAAAGAGAAACCACGTCGGATTTTTCACCATACGACGTAAACTCAATATTCCACGACTCAATCACCGTCGTTAAAAGTAATACCCTAAACTTTAAAACCATAAATTATATATTTGTAAAATTTAATTTTATAAAATTGTTTATGGTTTTACATCCTAATAAATAACAAACATAAACCCTAAACCCCAAAAATTATACTTTAACCATAAACCCTAATAAATAACAACCCTAAACCCCAAACCCTAAACCCTAAACCATCAAACTATATAAGTGATGCTATGACTCATCAAAACAATTTTATTTTGGTTGGTCATTTTAAACTTTTATTACACAAACTGCATTTTTTTGGGGGTTTAGGGGGAAGAAAATATATCAATGACTTCATAGGAGTTGAAGTTGAATTTTTTGAATTTATTTTAAATTTATTTTTAAAATTTTGAATTAAAAATAATAAAATATTCTTATATCAACAACAAACCACGACGTTGTAAATAATAATAAACGACTCACATGTAAAAGGACGTCGTTTAAAAGAGAAACCATGGCGGATGTTTCACCATCTGACGTAAAATACATATTCCACGACCGAATCACCGTCGTTAAAAGGTATTAACCTAAACCCTAATAAACGACTTACTTGTTCAAAAGGACGTCGTTTAAAAGCGAAACCATGGCGAAATTGTCATCAAAACGACGTCTTATGTACGTCCCATCACGTCTAAATATCATTTTACGTCGGTTTTTTACATAATTATGTCGTTGGAAAGTTATTACACGTCGGTTACGCAATTTGTTTTTTCTTTTATATTATGAAAACCTCAGCAAATTTTCAGGGAAAAAAAGGATGTATATTATAGACAAAATTTGTACATTATATATTATAGACAAAATTAGTACATATAAAATATCAAGTGTTCCAAAAATCCTCTAATCCATATGAAGGCAAACAAACTCTGCCCATTCTTTCCTGACTTCATCAATGGCTGCTTGGGGGTATGGCGCTTGATCTTTTCCCTTGGCAAACTGCAATCCATAAACAATGATTATTAAGCTTTACAAAATAAAAAGAAATTCAGACACAGACGACGTTTTTTTTCATAACCGACGTAGTCTATCGATTCAACGACGGTAATTTTAAATGACCGTCGTTGATAATACAAAAAACCACATAAAATGTTTCTGAAAATTTTATTCTTACCTTCTTCTCAAACTCCAAGGAAGGATCCATGATGATGTCCCTCATGAAGCGCATCACATAATACCCGCATTCGACACTGCTGGGTTGCTTTGGTGTGCCTGGCAGAGTTTTCCAAATTGGTGCTTTACGGCCTGGTCTGCCTATGTGGGAATTATAAATTTTTAAAGCACTGTTCACGATGTTTTTGCCCTCCTCATCAACCACACGATTTCCAGGCAGAGGATCCAGAAAATAGACGGTTTCCCTCTTTGCCCTCACAATCAGCAAGACCCAATGACGGCTGCACAAAAATAAAATAAAAAACGACGGTTAATATAAAAAGTCAGCACCAGAAAACAAACGACGTTTATTTATAAAAACCGACGTATTATATAGTTTCACACGACGTAATAACTTAATCATCGACGTCATTATAAATTTATCACGACGATAATTAACTACCGACGTGGTTAGTTGTTTCAAACGACTCAATAAATAAATAACCGACGTGGTTAGATGTTTCAAACGACACAGAATTAGTTAAACAGTTTTATAAGTGGTCAGTTAGTGAAAATCATACAAACAAAATCCTTTTAAGGAGACTAACCCTGGATTGTAAGGCATCATGAAAATCTGTTCACCATCTGTTTTCTGAAGTCGACTGGCTACAATTCGTGATCTGTCAGTTAGTGACCCAGCGTTGGCACTAACTTGAGCAGGGTCGATAAAGCCAACCATGCTGCACATATTTGCTTCTCTCAAAAGATCATATAAGCACCTAAATATATAAAACAAACGACGGTTATTTATACACAAACGACGTATTATACAATTTCACACGACGAACTGAAATAGAAACAGACGTGATAACTAATTTATCACGACGGTAAAAAAGAACGACGTGGTTAGTGGTTTAAAACGACGCAATAATTAAACAACCGACGTCTTATGATATAATGTTTGATATTTGATTAGGACAAACCTCATATATACTGCAACCACAGTAGCCCCAATTTCTTCCATGCCTGCAAACTGTGTAATATCTTCATGCAAGACGAAGGTACTTCGATCTGCACCAAACACCTCCTTCTCAATGTTGAAGGTCATGATCTTCCCCTGTGGCTTTAGTGTAGTTTCCACATAACCACAAAGGGATTGTAAGGAAGATGGCACCTCCACATTTGAATAATCAACTACTTCATTACCCTGTTTAAAGAAATAAAGCAAAATAAAATGACGTGGTAATTCATTAAAAACGACGGTTTAAATTAAAAAACGTCGTCTGATTATAATTTAAACGACGGTAATTAAATACCGTCGTTTTAGATAATTTATTACGTCGTAGAAAATAAATTCCGACGTCTAATGTGAAAACAAACGACGGTTTAAAGAAAAATATCGACGTCTGAAATGTGAAAAACAAATTAAAAAGGCAAAGTTATGAGAATATACCTCCTCGTCATGCTTTTCTTCATCTTGTTTTTCTTCTTTCTTCTCTTCATCATTTGTGTCTTCCTTTTTGCCTTCATCTTTTTTCTCTTTTTTTTCTTCCTTCTTCCCTTCATCTTTTTTTTCTCCCATCTTCTGTTCATCTTTATTTTCTTCTTTCTTCTCTTCATCTTGATTATCTAAAGCCCCAGATTTCTGTTTTAAATAATAAAGAAATATATATATAAGACAGATTGTACAGAGAGTAAAAAAATTAAACCAAAACGTCGTGGTAAGGCATAACATAAGACGGTATGTAAGAATTATGGACGTCTTAAAATTATTAAACGATGGTAAATAATAAACGTCGTGGTAATTGTATATTACGTCGTTAAGGACTAAAACCGTCGTCTAAAAACCACAAAGTACGACGTCTAATGGCGTGTAAAACAAGTAAACAAATACGACGTGGTATTTAAATAAACACGACGGGTTATTTATAAAATCGTCGTGGTATGTTTTTAAAACGACGGGTTTATTCATAATAACGACGTCTAATGTTTAAAAAAAAACAGAGAATTCAAAGTTCAGATATGTTACCGTTTCTTCCTGCTGTTCCCCATTTCTGGCAGTATCATCCTCTAAATGTAGGGATCTCACTTCAGCCCCAGAACAGCTTGCTTTATCAGACATTGGATTTTTGGGACTTTGCTGTAGACCTTGGTTTTGACAGGGGCTAGTTTTCGGTTTAAGCATGCTTGGATCAAAATTGGGGATGAGGTGGGAAAGCTGACTTAGTAAATGTTCCCTCTCAGCCTCTACTAATTGTTTGGTTCTAGCTTCCATCTTCTTAGTCTCTTCTTGAAGGACAATTCTTACACTTTCCTTCAATTGATCAGCAAACTTTACCCTCTGTGGTCTAGGTAAATTGAAGAATTGCCTAGGGGAAATCCCAGCACCTACCCCTCTTACTCTCCCTGGATGCTCGGGACCCAAAGCCAAGGTCAACACATCATTACTGCCAGATAAACTCAGACTGCCTTCAGCCACTTGTTTTTGCAATTCATCCTAAAACAAAGACATACAAAAAAGTCAGCACAAGAAAACACACGACGGTTATTTATAAACAAACGACGCATTATATAATTTCACACGACGCACCAATATAGAAATCGACGTTATAATATATTTATAACGACGTTAATTAAAACCGACGTGGTTAGTTGTTTAAAACGACGCAATAAATAAACCACCGACGTCTTATGCTGTAATTACAGAAAACAGAGTTGTGATTCCAGATTTAGATCTTTCACGACGTTTTTGAAAACATTTCGACGTAGTAATAACATTAACACGACGAAAAAAATTAAGCACCGACGTCTTATGCTATAATTACAGAAACAGACTTGTGATTCCAGATTTAGATCTTTCACGACGTTTTTGAAAACATTTCGACGTAGTAATAACATTAACACGACGAAAAAAATTAACCACCGACGTCTTATGCTATAATTACAGAAAACAGACTTGTGATTCCAGATTTAGATCTTTCACGACGTTTTTTAAAATATTTCGACGTAGTAAAATCATTCACACGACGGAAAAATATAACATAAGACGTAATAAGAATTATACACAGTTTAATAAAAATTTAAAACAGAGTGTGTAGGCTTACAATTAATTTTGCTTTCTCTGCCACCTTTGGATCCGGGATGTTACCATGTTTGTCCTGTCTAGCTTTCTTCCATAAGGTAGATCGATCAATTTCTACCCCAGGCATGGTTTCCTCCAATTGATCCTCCAAACCAGCATATCCTTTTCGAGACAATCGATGATTGTACTCAAGTTTCTCCCTAATCTGTGAATGTTGAGAATGCACAGACTCAAATTCTTTGGATAACCTTGAAGCTACAAAGGCATCCCATTCTGCTTTCTCTATGAATTTATATACTTCAGGGGGTTGGCTTAATTTCTCCCTCTCCTTGATGTATGGAAGGATATAATGCCTCGTCAGTGTAGACTTGAAATCCTTCCATTTCTTGGCAGCAGAAGATAACACCGAGGTCTTGCCCCCTTGACCTACCACAAAAGCCATGTCAACGGCTTCCCAAATCTGCTCCTTTATATCCTTGGGGATTTCAGCCCATTTCTTGTCCACAAGTGGGACTCTGGAGCGTGCCAACACACCAATGTAGGACTGCATCTCAGTATGTGCAGGGCCACATCCTTTCCCCCTTTTATTGTACTCAACAACTGGCTTGATTTTCTGCAATTTTCTCTTCACAACACGAGGCATTGTGCTCATACCTCGACCTGACTTTGAATCCTCAGAAATTGTTGTCGTGCTGCTTGGTTCTGTCTCAGCAGATGAAACAAACTTCATCTTCTTCAAGGGCTTGTCTTGAGGAGTTACCATTCCAAGCTCCTTACCTCCATTTTTTTTGGAGCCAGAGTACTTACTTTGGTCTTGAGAAACCATGGTTACAGAATAAACAAACCTGCAAGTGAAAATATTTCGGGAAAAAAATTAGAACACAAACGACGGTTATTTATAAACTACGACGTATGATAAGATTTTACACGACGTAATAACATAACATCAGACGTAATAAATGTTTAAAGAAGAAACAATATAAATGTTTAAACAACGACGAAACAATATTAAATAAGACGTAATAAGAACTTATTACGGCGATATTTACACGACGTCGTGATATTCATATTAACACGACGTAAATATTAATATAACGTCGTGTTATGGATATTCACACGACGTGAATAATAAGCTACCGTCGTATTTATAAGAAACCAAAAACATTTTTCTTTCTCTGTGAATGATTGATTGCAGTTTTAATTTCTCTGAAACATGGTTTTTGGTTTTCCTAATTTGATAAAATACAAAGAAAAAGAAAGAAAGCTTTGGCATCTTTTTATAGACGACGGTATCTTAGTATAACGTCGTGGTATGAACATTCACACGGCGTCAATAATAAGATACCGTCGTCTATATAAGATACCAAACCCTACTTTCTTTGTCTCTGTATTTTATCAAATTAGAAAAAACGAAAACCATGGTTCAGAGAAATCAAACCTGCAACTAAACAAGCAAATAAAAAATTGACCGTCATTTTAAAAACAACTTAGATCAATTTTAAGACGACGCTAGGGACGACTGACGAACCGTCGTGGTCTACATATTTAACCACGTAAATAAAAGCTACCGTCGTCTTATTTAGTTGAATTAGTTGTGTTTTGAAAGTTGATTTAACTTGGAAAGAATAAAAATGATTTTCGCCAGAAAAAAGGTAAAAAGATTTTCAAAACAAAAACAGTATGAGCATGCAAAATAGCAACAAAAATAGTGAGAAATGAAAGCTTACCTTTTGCGTGCAATGAAAGCTTTCTCTCGGATTTTGGTGTTTAAGTTCAGAGGCGACGACGAAGACAAGAGGAAGACGATGAGATACTCTGACAGTGCTCTGACAAGGAAAAAAGACGAAAAGTTTTCTCTGGGAGATTGAAATTTTTTCTCGGGTTTGGAAACAGTGCATGTGTAAGTCAGGTAGACGAAAAGTTGTATATGTATACAAACCGTTTCATAGTAATAAGACGGCGGTTTACATAGAACGACGACGTATTAATAGACAAACTACGACGTTAATTTGAACTTATGACGTGGTACATAAATACGACAGTAGTGTTGTAGGTACCGCCGTAGTAAACTCCTAAATAAAAGTCGATAACTCAATATCTCGCGTCATGGTAGAAATATTTAACACGACGGTTGTTTTAAATTTACGACGTTTATTTTTATAATATACGTCGTTTTATTGTAATATACCGACGTGGATAACACTAAACTAAAACGACGTATTATTTTTTTCACGACGTGGATTCGTTTTTAAACGTCGTTATGTGTAATATAACCGACGTGGATTTTTTTTTTTTATTATAAATATAATTTTTTTCCCCTTTTTCTTATAGTTTATTTTTCAAAAACAGTGCCTTATAGATATAGTTTTTTTTCCCGAGGAAATTAATGTTCTAGAATTTGTAAAGTTTCTTTTCTAGGTGACTGATTTAAATCAAATAAAAATATAAAACAACGACTGTTTTTGTTATACCGTCGTCGTTTCTTGTCGTCTTAAGTAAGAATAAAACGACGTAATGTATTTGTTACCGACGAGGATTATTTTTGTTAAACGTCGTTATGTGTAATATAACCGACGTGGATTTTGTTTTTTAATTATAAATAGGGTTTTTTTTCCACGGGTTCTTTCAGTTTTAGTATTCGATTAGGGTTTCAACTTCTTCTTGCCCCTTTCTCTGTCTCACCTCATCTCTTGGGAGGCAATTGTTTGAATGTTGGTTATCTGTGGCTGATTGCAAATCACCAATTTTCAATAAATTGTCTCTCTGATTGCAAATCTGTGGCTGCCGTCGTGAAGTTTTAGGAGGCAATTGTTTGGATGTGAATGTGTGTGTGCGTTTGTGTAGATACACAAACGCACACACATCATTCACTTCCAAAAAATTGTCTCTCTGATTGCAAATCTGTGGCTGCCGTCGTGAAATTTTAGGAGGCAATTGTTTGGATGTTGATGTGTGCGTGCGTTTGTGTAGATACACAAACGCACACATATCATCAACTTCCAAAAAATTGTCTCTCTGATTGCAAATCTGAGGCTGCCGTCGTCAAATTTCAGAAGCAATTTTTTGGATGTTAATGTGTATGTGCGTTTGTGTATCTCAAAGACACAAATACACATACATCATTAACCTCTAAAATATTGTCTTTCTGGTAAGATTATGATGAGCAACAGAGTTCCATCTTGTAAGATTTCCTAACCCTTGTGATCTCAGAATAATCTGATTATGTCGGCGGTTTTCTATATAAACCGTCGTGGTTATTTCAATTCTTGTCGTTAAGTAGATCTACCGACGTAGGATAACAAAATCCAAGAAATAAATTTTTAAAAAAATTCTTATTCAGACGACGGTTTAAATATAATGTATGACGTATAAAGTGTCCAAATACGACGTTAAATTCTATAATACGTCGTTATATGAAAACCCCAACTTGGTAAGATTTAAAGATGTCGTCGTAGAAATACGAGAAAGACGTCGTTATATTTACCTTTGCCGTAGTTGTACATTAATTTAATACGGCGGTATTTTGTATTTTACCGCCGTGGATTTATTTGTAATTATACGGCGCCTTATACGAAAACTTGGTCGTGTTAATTTCTGGGTAAAAACGACGGCTTTTTTTGAAACCGTCGTCTTTACTTTCCACGTCGGTCGGTTCATAACTTCCGCCGTTATTTGTTGGCTATGATTTTACCTCTTGAAAATCCTATTTCAATAAGACGTCGGTTTTTTTAATTAAGTACGTCGTGTTTTAGGAACAGCCATTTGAAACTCCATTTTTTAGTTGTCTAATGTGTTATTACACGGCGGTTTTATAAAACCGTCGTCTTTTAAAAAACAACGACGGTTTTCACTTAGACCGTCGTGTTTTTCTGGTCGTCTTTTTCACTTTTTGTAGTAGTGCTCCATGACAAGCTGATTGAACATGAAGCCGCTCTCAAGTGTGATGATACCGTTGTTGCTGCCCCAGTGATCACTGCCAATGTCACTCAGACATCTCGCTCCCACACCTCAAACCGTGGCTATCGCTCTAACAACTCCAACTCCAACCGTGGGTCCTTTGCCTCTCGCAATCCATCTCGTGGTTCCTACGGGCCCACCCAACCAGCTTTCACTGACAATAGTCGTCGCTCTACCCACATGAACAACACAGGTTATCGTGGTTTCTGTCAATGGTGTGGCACTCAAGGTCATAGTGCCAAACGCTGCCCCCAACTCCAATTTGGACCTCACAATCAGCTAGTGGCCAATCCTACCACCCATGGTAGGTCCACCTCTTCTCCAACATGGTTGCTTGATTCCAGTGCCTCTCACCATGTTACCTCTAACGTCAACACTCTCTCTGGTGCCTCTCCATATGATGGTCCTGATGAAATAATTATTGGTAATGGTTCAGGTTTGGGTATCACTCATGTCGGTTCAACCACTATACCCTCCTCATCCTCTCAATCTTTCACCTTGTCCAATGTTCTCTGTGTTCCTTCTATGCAAAAAGACATTATTTCTATTTCTAAATTTAATAAACAAAATAATACATCTATTGAATTTTTTCCTGATTTCTTTCATGTCAAGGATCTGAGCATGGGGGCGGTTCTTCTTCGAGGCCCGAATAAGGATGATGTGTACGAGTGGTCTTTCAAATCCTTTTGTCAACCGCAAGCTCTGGTGGGTGTGGTGGTCTCTCCCAACCTCTGGCATCGTCGTCTTGGTCACCCCAGTCACAAAATTCTCCAACAAGTCCTTCGTTTGTCTTCCGTTAATGTGTCTTCCAAGATGTCCGAGTATGTTTGTCATTCTTGTCTAGGGTTAATCATTTTATTAGTCCCCCAACTTGAACTGGATTTGCATTTGAGTACCTCAATTTCCAAAATGGTACCTATGGTCCTTTAACTTTAGTTTCGTTTGGACAACTAGTCCCATTGTTACTTCTGTCAATTTTTTCGTTAAATTGAAGGGTAGATGAGTCTTTTTAGGTTGGTTTTAAGGGACAAAAAAGACTTTTACTCTTTTATATTTGGGTTAATCGTTTTATTAGTCCCCCAACTTGGACCGGATTTGCATTTGAGTACCTCAATTTCCAAAATGGTACCTGTGGTCCTTTAACTTTAGTTTCGTTTAAACAACTAGTCCCACCATTACTTCTGTCAATTTTTTCGTTAAATTTAAGGGTAGATGAGTCTTTTCAGGTTGGTTTTAAGAGACAAAAAAGACTTTTACTCTTTTAGATTTTCTGAGAAAACCAGGAAAACCCTTGGGCGAAGACGCCCACTTCATCTGCCATGATGCCCAAACCATCAGAGTGGCGGACGGCGTCGGTAGCTGGGCCAGGAAAGGTGTTAACGCCGGTGAGTACGCGAGGGGACTCATGAACCACACCAAGAAACACAGCCACGGATATAACCCGATCATCTGCCGTCGTCGTGGATCCAAGAAAGGTGTTGAACGAAGTCTTAGGGTGGTTCTGGTGGAGCCAGAGTACGGCCGTGTCGAAATTTGTGTCACAAAAACGAATAGAGTCGACGCTGAAGATGAGCTTGAGGGTGGTAGGGGGATTGTGGGACCAAGCCAAGGGAAGAAGTTGCTTCAGATATTTAAGGCAGGGTGGATTAGTATACCTCCAAGGTCTATTTCAGAGGGAAGGCAAGTTGTAGAATGAGGATAATAAAACCAATTGAAATGACCCATCTACCCTTAAATTTAACTAACAAATTGACAGAAGTAACAGTGGGACTAGTTGTCCAAACGAAACTAAAGTTAAAGGACCATAGGTACCATTTTGGAAATTGAGGTACTCAAATGCAAATTCGGTCCAAGTTGGGGGACTAATAAAACGATTAACCCAAGGAAAATAATAAAACCAACTGAAAAGACCCATCTACCCTTAAATTTAACGAAAAAAATTGACAGAAGTAACGGTGGGACTAGTTGTCTAAACGAAACTAAAGTTAAAGGACGACAAGTACCGTTTTGAAAATTGAGGTACTCAAATGCAAATTCGGTCTAAGTTGGGGGACTAATAAAACGATTAACCCTTCTTGTCTATGTAATAAAAGCCATCGGCTCCCGTTTGGTACTTCGTCTCTCACTAGTCATGGTCCATTAGACCTCCTTTACAATGATGTTTGGGGCCCTGCTCCATACTCTTCTATTGATGGTTTTTCCTACTATGTTATATTTGTTGACCATTTCACAAAATGCATATGGCTCTACCCTCTCAAAAAGAAATCTGATGTGTTTTCCACTTTTGTCACCTTTAAAGCACTTGTCGAAAATTACTTCAAAAGAAAAATCACTAGATTATACACTGATGATGGGGGAGAATTCATCAAACTCCAACATTTTCTCTCATCCAATGGCATCACCCATCTTCTTACATCACCTCACACTTCGCAACACAATGGGGTCGCCAAACAGCGACATCGTCATATTGTTGAAACTGGCCTCACCCTTCTTCATCAAGCTTCTTTACCTCTCACCTATTGGCCTTATGCCTTTAAAACAACTGCCTATCTTATCAACCGCATGCCCACTCCGCTTCTACACAATCTATCCCCATTCACTCAACTATTTGATGAACAGCCCAATTACTCTCGTCTTCATACCTTTGGGTGCTTGTGTTTTCCTTGGTTACGTCCTTACAATTCAAATAAATTACTTCTTCGTTCCCGCCCATGTCTCTTCCTTGGTTACTCACCTAATCAAAGTGCCTTTCAGTGTCTTGATCTTTCCTCCAACAAACTTTTTATCTCTCGGCATGTTCAATTTGATGAGTCCACTTTTCCTCTTGCCAACCTCCCTTCCTCCATTCCCCATGTCACTGTTGATAACTCTCACACTTGGGTCTCCTCTCTTCCTCCAGTTACATATGTTCCTGTACACTCACCCACCATGCCTGTTGCATCGGTTGTTTCTTCTTCAATGCCACCACATGTCACATCATCATCATCATCGGCATCTGCCCCCGTCTCGGAGCCGTAACCATCAGTTGCCCTGGCCCCCATTGCTCTTCTCTTACCATCACCCAACCCCCAAGCCTCAGCCCCTACCTCCATTGCACCCATAATCACTCCACCCGCACATTCTCCAGCCCAAAATGACCCAGCCCAGCCACCTTCCCACCTCAGCCCAATTCGTACATATACTAGAAACCCTAATAGGACTGTTGTCACCTTTCCATCCTCTGACATGCACCTTTCCAACCCCTCAATACCTCCTGTGCTCCCTAATCATTCCATGGTCATCCGTGCCAAAGCCGGTATCCACAAACCTAATCCCCGATATGCTAGACTGCTACTAAACACCCCATTCTCTCCTCCATTGCACCGACATGTGTTTCCCAGGCTGTTAAGGATCCCCTTTGGCGACAAGCAATGTCCAATGAGTTTAATGCGTTAATTCGCAATGGTACATGGGAGCTCATTCCTTCACTCCCCTATCAAAATCTTATTGGTTGTAAGTGGGTGTTTCGTATCGAACGGCATCCTGATGGCACCATTGATAGGTACAAGGCACACTTAGTTGCCAAGGGTTTTCACCAATGTCCTGGTGTTGATTTTTCAGATACTTTCAGTCCGGTGGTCAAACCTACTACCATACGAATTGTGTTGCATCTTGTCATGACTCATGGTTGGCCAATACGTCAATTGGACGTTAACAATGCTTTTCTTCATGGCACACTCCGTGAAAATGTCTATATGGTCCAACCGCCTGGTTTTGTTGACTCTAATCATCCATCTCATGTGTGTAAATTGAGGAAAGCCCTCTATGGCCTCAAACAGGCTCCACGGGCGTGGTACAAGGAGTTACACTCATTTTTGCTCTCCCATAGCTTTGTCAATGCCATCTCTGATGCCTCACTCTTTCTCTTCAAAAATGGGACTACTGTAATTTATTTTTTGGTTTATGTTGATGATCTTCTTATTACAGGTAATAATTCCATACTTGTGGCGAAGTTCATTCAACTCTTAGTCACTAGGTTCTCTGTCAAGGACTTGGGCTCATTACATTACTTTCTTGGTGTTGAGGTTCTTCCCACAGGAACTGGTCTATTCCTCTCTCAGCAAAAGTACATTCATGATCTTCTTGTCAATGCCAAGATGAATGGTGCAAAGGCTGTTAGTACGCCCCTCTCCACAACTGACTCCCTTATGCTCCATGATGGCTCCCCCCCCACGGATGCCATACCCTACCGTCGTCTTGTTGGTGGTCTTCAATACCTAAGCCTTACACGCCCTGAAATCTCCTTCGCAGTCAATAAGCTCTCCCAATTCATGCATTCTCCTTCCGAGACTCACTAGTAGGCACTCAAGCGTCTTCTTCGCTACTTGAAGGGTACCATCTCTTTTGGCCTTCATCTTTGTCGCCGCCCTTCTCATCGTCTCTATGCCTTTTCCGATGCTGATTGGGCTGGTTATTGTGATGATCGCAAGTCTACGACTAGCTATGTTGTCTACCTCGGTGGAAATCTGATCTCTTGGAGCTCCCGCAAACAACGGTCTGTCTCTCGCTCCTCCACCGAAGCCGAATACCGCGCCATTGCTGCCACCACTTTTGAACTCACATGGATTCAGTCCTTATTGCGTGAACTTGGTATTCCTCTCCCCAAACCACCAGTTGTCTCCTGTGACAACATTGGCGCCATGTTCTATTGTGCTAATCCTGTCCTACATTCCCATATGAAACATATCGATATTGATTTTCAGTTTGTACGGGATCGTGTCACTCGTGGTCTTCTTCGAGTGTCTCATGTCTCTACTACTGATCAGCTTGCTAACGCTCTCACCAAACCCTTGCCGCGTCCCCGTTTCCATCTCCTTCGTTCCAAGATCGGTGTCTCCGATGGTGCCACAGTCTTGCGGGGGCGTATTAAGGAATCTCCTACATCAAAGGAGATCAGTTCATCAACAACTCAATCTGCTTCATCAACAACATAATGGCTCCTCCATATGAAAGTCAACTGTGATATATATGCTAAGTTGTCTTTCCTATTCTATTTGATTAGGATTGATTCAGTCACTCAAGACTGATTGTATTTACCTTATTAGGATTGTATTCAAAACTGTATATAATCATAGACTTGTACTTGTAAACATATCAATGAAATATACCAATTGATCTCAGTCCTTATAGATAATACACTCTTCTTATCTCTCAAAATTTACTTGGCAAGATTCCAAAGAATGCTCTTAGATCAAAACATTATGTAGGGATGGTATGAACTGCCTAAAGATAGAATTCTTGAACAGCGCACAACCATAGCTATTACTCACTACAGCAAAAAATTTCCATTCATGAAAGATTTAAAACCAGGTTTTTTTCAATGAAACATGCCCCATAGTTTCAGCAAATCTGTATTTAGCTTAAACAAAAAATTTGTACTGTATTAGCTATAGTCTAAGCTTTTTGGGATATTAAATATTGTCTTAATGTACAGTTAGGTCATATTGGGATTCTTATGAGTTTGTCACTCAGATGTATGGGGTTTCCTTTTAACCAATTGCAGATGCTGTGGAAAAATGCAAATTGGATTATTGTCTGAGCTAATAGACAAGTTATGTCGGCTCAGTTTCGAATACCCAACCCCCCCACGCGACAAAAGGAACCAATGCTATTTCATATTTGATTGGTAGAAGTGCATAACTTCTCCACATACGGGAGTGATAAATTCAATACATGTCCAATGTCTTAGGTGGCCTTGATAAGCGCTTAATTGAAAGAAGATGCTGAGTACTTGAAGGAGCTCAGTAGTTTAGCAGAAAAGGAAGGAGTGTCCAATTAGGTTAACTTCATCACATCTTGCTCAACAGCAGAAAAGGAAGGAGTTGGAAAATAAAATTGAAATAAGATAATCTGATTGAAGACCCGTAGATGGCACAGAGGGTTCTGCTTGGCTATTGCTGAACTGATCGAAGACCCACAGATGGCGCAGAGAATGGGCATCTATGCGCGATGGCATGTGACAAATTCATTCTCTACAAAAATATTTGGTTGGCATTTGAATCAATACCTTGTTGACGTTGCTGGGACGAAAGAAGGCTGAAGACTGCATGACCTTGTAGTATAAGTTGTTCAATTTAATCACCTAGCCTTAAATAAAATTTTGTTGCGTTTAATATATCCATGAATTTGAGTGTGTCATCTTTTATGCCTTTCGTCTTTTGCTTGATGTACCATTTTTCTAAAGTTATTCTGTTTGGTCATGTAGTTGACAGATGGTAGTGAGTTGTGAATGAAGAGCGAAGAATGATATTTTCTGCGAAGGTTATGCTTCTCCTGCAGTGTAACATGTATAGGATGTCAATGTATGTAATGTTAAGGTAAGGCTTGACCAGCACTGGAACTCTCAAGCCATGTCTGGCATGCATGCCATATTAAATAACACCATATATCTTCCAAGTTTCCAAGAAACTATCTCAAATCAAGAGTGGTGGCTCTTCAGAGAGACGGTTATAGCTCAAATCAAGGATCTCAAGTCAATTCAAAGACAAGAAGAACTGAATTTCAAGTGAACCATAAAGTGAATTGTGGGAAAGGTTCAAGTGGGTGAGATGTGAGAGATTTGCAAGTGAAGAGGAAGAGATACCTCCTTTGAGCTTTTTGGAAGGTAAGAGCAAACGGGTGACCCAACCATCTTGATCACAAGTGATGCCCTCCTAATGACAGCAATCAATGGATGTCCTATTTAAAGTTGGATAAGATAGAGTGGAGGCAAAGGACAGGAGGGAGCTGCGTTTAGTTTGTCTGCAGGCATGAATTTTAGTATATATAATGTCAGAGAATAAGAGGAAGAGAAGGAAGGCATGAGCCATTAGGTTATAAGGCAGCACTAGCATGTTGCTTTGTGTATGTGCCGTTGCTCACTGGTGTATAGGTAGAGAGATAATAGATCCTCCCCCTAGGATGGTAGCTTCTATTCCTTGATTGACCTGTAAGTTAAATAAGGGATTCTAGGTGCCATTTCCCAAAACACAATATGACCTAATATAAGACATAAACCTAACATTGTTATCTACGAAGAGCAAGCATGTGTGGGACTTTAGTTATCTATTGACACATTATGATGACATGGTTGATTTTGATGGATTCCAAAATCTTCAGTTTTTTAGTTTGGTTGGTTCTGACCTCACTGTTGTATGGTTATCAAAGCTCAAGAGGAATTCAATGGTTAGATAGCTTCCCCAAATTGAGAGGAACCTCGCCGCCAAAATGATTATAGAAGAGATCAAGGGTTGCAAGGTTAGTGAGGTTGACAATTTTATCACTAATGGCTCCATGTAGTGAATTGAGAGGCAATGCAATTTCTTCAAGTCTGGTAGCATTATAAATGTCGGGAATTCAATGGTTGTTTTTAAAACACGACACACCTATTTTAAAAAGCGACGTCTTATTGAAAAAAGTTTTCCTCAGAGTAAACTCGGAGCCCACAAACAACGGCATAAGGTATGAATCAACCGACGTAGAAAGTAAAGACGACGGTTTAAAGAAACAACCGCAGTTTTTTCTGCGCAATAACCACGATCAAGTTTCCGTATCCGGCATCGCATAATTTCAAAAGAATCCACGGCGGTATATTACAAAATACCGCCATCTTAAATACATGTACAATGACGTAAAATATAAATTTAGCAACTTATTTCATGTTCCATACTACGACCGTATCTTTAACTCTAACCACGTTGGTTTGTTCAATTAACGCCGTGTAATAAAATTTACCACGACGTGAAGTTAAAATTACCGTCGTATTTATTTACTTTATACGTCTACCCTTAAACCTAAACGGTCGTCTTAATTACATTATTTTTTACTATTTATTTCTTAGATTTTGGTATCCTACGATGGTAGACCAACTTAATGACAAGAATTGAGAATAACCACGACGGTTTATATAGAAAACCGCCGACAAAATAGATTTTTCTGAGATCCAAGATATACGTCGTGAAGTTAAAATTATCATCGTATTTATTCACTTTATACGTCCGACCTTATATCTAAACCGTCGTCTTAATTGTAATTTTTTGTAATTTTTATTTCTTGAATTTTGTTACCCTATGTCTGTAGATCAACTTAATGTCAAGACGGTTTATATAGAAAACAACCGACAGAATCAGATATGAGATCCCAAGAGTTACGAAATCTTACCAGATGGAACTCTGTTCCTCATCATAATCGGACCACAGAAAGACACAGATTTGCCTCTAAAATTTGACGACGGCAGCCACAGATTTGCATTTAGAAAGGCAATTTTTTGGAAGTTGATGATGTGTGTGTGTTTGTGTCTTTCAGGTCGGTTGATATTTTTATTAATTTATTTATTTGATCAGTTTTACTATCTGTTCACTCACTGACATTCTCTCTCTCACTTTTAGGATGATTTGAAAAAACAAGTCTCCGAGGGCACTCTGACTGTCTCTGGGAGCAACGATGTTTTGACCATGGCTTTGGGAACCCCTGAGCATGGTCAAAGGTGTTGGAGCTAGGGTTTCCCCAACTCAATTCTTCAATTTGCCGAGACAGCAGAGAGTAAAATTTGCTGACAAATTGAAGGAAAGTGTTATGGCAATAGTGAGAGAGGAAACCAAAAAGAGGAGGCCAGGGCAAAGGAAAGTGTTATGGAGGCAGTCAGAGCAGAGAGGGAAATTATGTTGAAACAATTCAGTCAACTAATTCCCAACTTTGATCCCAACATGCTCAGTACAATTCCAACTACACCAACTACACCAACTACACCAATTACTCCAATTCCTCCAATTCCTCAAGAGCAAAGCCCAAAAAATCCAATGTCTGACAAAGCAAGCTGCTCTAATGTGAGAGCCCCTGAATTGGATGAAGACAATCCCAAGAATGATGCTGATGCTGCTGAAAACCGTTAAGATCAAACGGTAAAATCTCTGACATTTGCTTTTTCTGAATTTTAAATTTTAAATAGACGTCGGTGTTTATTTTAAAACCCGTCGTCTAGTTTAACCTAGACGACCTTTCTATTATGTAGCGACGTTATAACTTTTACACAACGACTGTTATGTATTTACCGTCAATATGTTCTAAAAACCGTCGTTGATATTATATACCACGTCGGTTTTGTTGATTTGTTGGAGTCGTTTATTTTACTTCATGAACACACTAACTTTTATTTCTTTATTTATTTCTTGTTACAGGATCTCTCAAAGCTTGACATGCCAGCTCCTCTGTTAGCCCTATGCCAATATGTCGAGACCAAGTTGAAGCCTGCTAACAAGACCATTACAGTTCACATGCCTGAGGAAATGTTTGGCATTGATCATGATACCTAACTCTTGAGTTAAGACATTTTACAGTTTGCTTCCATGGTTGGAGATTGGAGCCACAGTGATATGAAGTATACATGAGGTAATTCTAGAATTTTTTTTTTTTTTTTTTTTTTTTTTTTTTTTTTTTACATTTTCTTTTTTTAAATTAAAATCTCATTTAATTGAAGTTCATATATTTAATTAGGTACCTATTTGACTATTTAAAAATGGCAAATATGGTAAAACTTGTTGGCCTCGTGGACCCTGGACAAGTCAACTCTCAATCTGGAACGTTATCTCACCGCTCAAAACATCTCTCAGAAAGCCTGAAAAAGGCAGATGGGGATCAATTTGACTTGGTGCCTTATAATCTAGGGTTAGTCCCCTTCTATACTTAATTGGTTCCTTGTAATATATTTTTTTGTAGTATATTTAATATATATGGATAATTTTGTGTAGGGGTCATTGGGTGTTAATAATTGTGAGACCAGCTAAGGAGACTGTCTATTACATGAATTCATTGCCAAACCACTCTGTTGACGAGGACATGAGAAATATAGTGAATACGTAAGTTTATTAATGAAAACCTATGATTTTTTATATCTGCATTTGATTGATACGACGGCTTTTTCCAATACCGACATTGTAGTGAAAACACAACGACGGTATATTATAACCGACGTTTTCAATAATTTATAATGTCAGTATTTTCTTGAAACCATCGTCTTAATTGAAATACCATGTCAATTTTGTTTTTAATTTTAGGACTTTTTAATTTTTTATGTTAAATGTTCATTTAAAATTAACTTTGGTTATACGTCGTTTTTCTTCGTCACCGACGTTAGAATGAAACACAACGACGGTCCTTATTTGCCGACGTTGTATATAAACTACAACGTCATTTGATTTACAAAACCGTCGTCTTCAATTATTTATCACGACGGTTAATAATTTTGATGCTGATTTTTAGTTTTGTCAGTAACACTTTTTGTTTTCTTGAAACAGTTCAATCAAAATGTATAACTCTCACACAGGGAAACAATCATCACGTAAATCACCCATATGAAAAAATCTGCAAGGCACTCCTAGACAACCAACAAATGTAGAGTGTGGCTATTACGTGATGCGTTTCATGAGAGATATAATTCATGATCCAGCCCTAGCCTTTGAGAAGAAGGTAAAATTTAATATATAATTTCTTTATTTTAGTACCACGACGTTTGCTTTCAAAATTGTCGTTTTATTACTTGTAACACGTCGGTTTTTGTTCTTTATTTGCAGTTTGACAAGAAAAGGAACCAGTTGTGTATACTCAAGAACATATTGATGAAGTCTGGCTGGAATGGGCATAATTCGTGAACAAGCAATTACAAAATAATAATTGATAATATACATTTATTTAAAAATGTTTAGGTTTATTTTAATTTTTTGACAATGTATATAAACATATTTTTAGTAATTATTTGAACATTCATAAAAAAAATCAAATGAAATATATTGTTGTTTCTAATTATTTTTTTGGTATTTTATAAATGTGTTAAAATGAACTAAAATGAAAATAAATCATAAAAATGTAAATTAATTCCCCAAATCCGACGTCTCATTCATCTTTACACATCTGTTATTTATAAACCACCACTGTCTTGTTATAGCGGGAAACAAAACATCGACGGCATTTCTAAAAAACGACATTTAAGGTTGATATATACGTCGGTTTCTTTAAAAAACTGAAATCTACGAAAAAATTAGTAGAGACATACAACGTCCGTTACAGGTTAAATGGTGATGTTGTATCCATAAACAACGTCATCATCAAAATAGTAATAGACATTGTAAATAACTAAACACGGCGGTTATTACATTGCGACATTTAATGTTTACTAGGACGACGTTATGAGTTACTTAACGTCGTTGTAAACTAATGCAATGTCGGTTATGTACTTTTGTATTCAATTTTTGTATGACTTTTATATTTTATTCCTAATATTCATAACAATTTCAAAACAAATTCAATAAAATAAGCTGACAACTACTATGCACTCATTGGAAGATTTTATCTCCCCTAAATCTTTTAAAAATTTAATGTTAAAATTATTTTTATTTGTATTTAATTACTAATATTCAAAAAATATTCATAAAAAATCTGAAAAATAAACCGACAAATTCTATGCACTCATTGAGACAATATCTATCTCCTACATGCCTTAAAATTTTAATTTTAGATTTCAAAATTAGAAGTGATTACAAAAGTCAAAATGATTTGGAGACAAAGCACAATAGTCATTATACTTTCCATTACATAACCCTAAGGTTTATGTGATCCATTGGTGGTCATAAAATTGAAAATTCTTTAATATAGATTTTAGCCTAATAATGTAGAAGGCATTGTTGTAAGGAGTCCATAGCAATTTTCGGTTCATTTTTCTCATACTTGTGTATTTTTTTATATAATTATTGTAAAATTTAGGGTTTAGGTTTTATTGAAACAACGCCAGTTTGCTCTCGCTATTTTTGGTCAATACGCGTGTTTGAATCCCAGGAAACGCACACCAAAGCTAATTTTTTAATATTTTAGACGTCGGTTTTTGTATGGGCGACGTCAAAACACAATACAACGTCGTAAATGTAACATAACCGTCGTTGTAAATGTGAAATTAAACGACTACTGGGTTGTATTTACTGTCGTCTTTAAAAAACGCGGTCCTTTGAAATTTTTGATCGGGATCTAAAATTTTCCGAATTTCCATTTAACCCTAAAGTATTTCCTTCTCTCACTTCAACGTAAATTTGTCTTAAAGTTTTCGCTTTCTCTCAAAGCATTGGGTATTTTCTCTGAGCTCTCTCTCAAAGCATTAGGTATATTCTCTAAGCTCTCTCAAGCATTTGATATTTTCTCTCAGCTCTCTCTCAATATCCATGTAAGTATATTCTCTTAGCTCTCTCTCAATATTCTCTTATTATTAGTTTGTATATATTCTCTCAGCACTCTCTCAATATTCTCTTAGTTTGTATATTCTCTTAGATCTCTCTAAATATTTTGTTAGTTTGTATATTCTCTCAGCTTTGGTTTCTTAATATGGGTTCTTTTATGTTTTGATGTTTGCATTCCGTTAAGGGTTCTTTGAAATGGAATGGGGATGGAAGAATTAGGCATTGGTTTTTTGTAAACCACGACGACGGTTGGTTTCCACTAACCGTCGTCTAAATTTTTAGTATATGTCGGCTTTTTATTTACTACTTCCGTCGTTGTTAGTCGACTATAACCCAGCCATGTTCTTCAAAAAGAATAAAAATATCTTGTTGTTTGCTTAAAGACGACGGTAAATAGACATACCGTCATCTTAATCTATGTTATACGACGATTATTTTGTAAAAACTGTCATTTGATTATTGTGCAATTTTTTTTTCATTTTTCCCACTTTGTTCTCTTCTCTATCAATATAGTAGTGTTTCATTGGTGGTCTTTTCACTTTATTATATGTATGATTTTATAGTGTGTGAGATGGATAAGTCATGGATGCATGCGGATAGAAGATCAAAGGCATATGAGTTAGGTGTGGAAGGATTTTTGAATTTTGCTATAGAAAATCTTGTAAATACAACTCATATTCATTGTCCATGTGTTAAATGTGGGAATATTCGATTGTTTGGAGTTGATGAGTGATGTTTGTTTTACAGAATTATTGATACTTCAAGGAGATTTGTTTCCAGAAGGAAATACACTACCTTCCTCTATGTACGAGGCCAAAAAGACATTGTCTACTTTAGGGATGAGTTATGAGAAAATCCACGTATGTCACAATTACTGCATCTTGTATAGGAAGGATTATGAAAATTCAACTAATTGTCCTACTTGTCGTGTCTCATGATGGAAGGAAGGCAAAGATTCAATCTTGAAAGAGGGTGTGCCAGCGAAGGTGGTGTGGAAGGAATTCCAAGGTTTAAAAGGATGTTTCAATCACATAAGACAGCTAAGAGTTTGACTTGGCATGCTGCTAGAAAATCAGTTGATGGTCAAATGTCTCATCCAGTGGATTCTCCGTCTTGGAAACTTGTTGATGATAAATGGCCCGAGTTTGGTAAAGAGCCGAGAAACTTGAGATTGGCTCTCTCATTTGATGGATTCAATCCCCATAGTTCTTTAGTAGCAGATATAGTTGTTGGCCAGTTATTTTAGTTACATATAATCTCCCATCATGGCTATGCATGAAATGGAAGTTCATGATGTTGACCTTATTGATTTCCAGTCCTAAACAGCCTGGAAATGATATAGACGTCTACTTAGAGCCTTTGATTGATGATTTAAAATCTCTGTGGGATGGGATTAGAGGAGTGTATGATGCACATTTATGAGAATACTTTACACTCAGAGGTGTATTGTTGTGGACAGTTAATGATTTTCTTGCCTATGAGAACTTATCTGGTTGTGTTGTTAAATGATATAAAGCTTGTCCAATATGCGGCGATGATACACCTAGTCACAGGTTGAAAAATGGCCACAAAATTTGGTACATTAGGCATAGAAAATGGTTACCAATCAATCATCCATATCAGAGGCAGCGTGCAGCTTTTAATGGGAAACCTGAATATGGCATGCCTCCCGAGCCATTAAACGGAGAAGAAGTGTTGCACATTGTTGAAGATATTAATTACATATGGGGCTTGAAAAATGGGAGAAGTGTTGGTGAGGATGATGGTGACAGAGTTTGTTGGAAGAAGAAATCAAAATTCTTTGATCTCGAGTATTGGAAATACTTTCATGTGAGGCATGTCCTAGATGTTATGCATATTGAGAAGAATGTTTGCGATAGTATCATTGGTACATTGCTGGAGATCCCTGGAAAAAATAAAGATGAGATTCCTGCTTGGTTAGATTTATTGAACATGGGGGTCAAAACTGATTTGCAACCCGAGTATGGACAAAGACGTACTCGCTTGCCTCTAGGGCCTTGGAATTTGTCAAGAGCAAAGAAGAGAGCGGGTTAAAATTCTTTCTATGGTATGAAGGTCCCTGAAGATTATTGTTCAAATATAAAAAATCTTGTATCTTTAAAAGATTCAAGACTTCTTGGACTTAAATCTCATGATTGTCATACCTTGATGCAACAATTGCTCCCTGTGGCAATTCGTTCTGTTTTGGAGAAGCCTGCAAGGTATGCAATAACTCGATTGTGCTTCTTCTTCAATGCTATATGTGCAAAGACGGTGAATGTTTCCAAGCTAGATAAGTTGGAAGAAGATGTAGTAGTTACTTTGTGTTTGCTTGAGAAGTATGTTCCTCCTTCATTCTTTGATATCATGGTTCATCTAGTAGTACATCTTGTTAGAGAAGTTCGTCTATGTGGCCTAGTATATTTTAGATGATGTATCTGTTTGAAAGGTATATGAAAGTGCTAAAAGGGTATGTTCAGAACCGTACTCGTCCGGAAGGTTGCATTACTGAGCAGTATATAGCTGAAGAAGCTATAAAGTTTTGCACCGAGCATTTATCTGAAGTTAATGCAGTTGGAGTGCTTTTAAGCCAGAAGATGAGAGTTTCAAAGCTATTATTAGGTTGCATAGTAAGCTTAGTTGATCGGGACTTGTTAAACCAGGCACATTTATATGTCTTGAAGAATACGGAGGAAGTCCTACCTTATATCGAGTACGTATGACTTTTATTTTTCATATGGAGCCATTTTAAATATTATTATTCCTTATGTTTATCTTATATATAAGGAATCATAATGCTTGATTTTTGGTCTCAATGTAGGGAACATATGATTCACTTCAAGACCACTTATCCAAAATTTTGAAAGAGAACAAAGTGGCTGCAAGATAAGCACAATAGCACTTTCATTCAATGACTCCACTTTAAGGTATATATATATATATATATATGTTATTGAATGACATGCATCAACTTTTAATTTTCTTCCATTCTATATGTTAGATTGAATTAAAGTATATATGATTAGTTTGCAGGTTCAAAGTGAACTTAATGGGGAAGAGCATAATGGCGTATCAGAAAATTTGAGGTGGCTAGCAGCTGGTCCAAGCATGGAAGTGCCATCATATAGGAGCTATCTTATTAATGATGTTAAATTTAACACCAAGGCACAAGATGATGTGCGAACTGTCCAAAATAGTGGAGTTTATTTACTTGCACATACTATGCAAGTTGCTAGTGCCAAGGATAAAAACCCTATTGTCTCTAATATGGGTTTTTATGGTGTTATTCAAGAAATTTGGGACCTTGACTACCAAAAGTTTAGAATCCCAATCTTGAGGTGTGATTGGATAGATAACACTTCGGGCCTTGTAGTCGACGAACTTGGATTTACCCTTGTAGATCTGAGTAAAATTGGACATAGGAATGACCAATTTGTTATGGCTTCTAAAGTGAAACAAGTATTTTATGTTGATGACCCAATGTATCATGGTTGGCCGGTAGTGTATCAATTCTTAATAGAGAATATAATGATGTTATTGGTGATGATGTGCTAGGTGATACTGGAATTGAGTGTGAGCCATTTACTGGAGGGATATCAAATGTTGACACATTTGATGACCTAGTGGGTGAGTTTGGGAATGAAAATATTAGAGATGGGTGTGAAGATATATGGATTGATTGATTGTTGTAATGTATGACCTTAGTTATTCAGTTAATTGTATGACATTAATTAATAATTTTGTACAACATTTTAATTCTTATCACATTTTCATTATGCAGGCTTTGGGCAAGACAAATCAAAAATTAAAAAAGCTGGGTTAAAGCTGTAAAGTACGACGGTCAGGGATAAAAATTGGAAACACAAACGTCTAAGATAAAAACAACATCGGGTTTCAATAAGGGAACAGACCATAAAACAAAAAAACAGACATCTGAAAAAGAAAGCAAGACGGTTTGCTTAAAATAAACCGTCATCTAACCCCCAAAATAAAGGCCGTTCAGTTCCATTAACTGTCGTGACAGATGTTCTGCACGTTTGCTAGTCTAAAACAACTGACGTATCCGCGCATACATATGTCACGGCAGGTCAAACAAGCGACTTTTAAAAGGACAACCACGTCATTATGTAATAAGAACCGACATGGTAAGTAATTACAACGTCAAGCAGATGGATCTCTAGACGTAGTGAAGTAATTAACCATGTTCCTATCCACGCCTTAAATTCTATTTATAACGTCAGCCTTTGACATAAACCGACGTGGAGGAGAGTTTTGTACGTCGATATTGAGTAATATTATGTCATTTAAAATATTTTAGACGTCGGTTATTTAGAAAAAGTGATGTCTACTCTGTTAAAGGGCCTTCTTTGTACTATTTAAACGACGATTCTTGAAAAAAATAGACGTGTCAACGAGTTAACACGTCGGTTTGTATTATAGTTCACGACGTGGATAAATACATAAGCGTCGGTGATGCCTGGTGCAGGACGTGGTTATTTTATTTTACGGCGGTTATGGAAAGACAAATGACATGTAATACTCTTTAAACATCTGTTGGTTTGTGTGTACGTCGTTGTTTGTGGTTCACACGTCGGTTTTTTTTTATTTTTTTAACGTCGTAAATATTAACCAGGACGGTTTCTAGCTTATCCAAGTCTTTTTTCCTTCATTTAGAGACGTGGATAATTATTTGTACGTCGGTTCTTCTTTTGATCTTCACATGTAACAGTCTTTAGACATCTCCGTTTTCATAAAACTGTCGTGTAATGTTGTCGGAGATTTCATATTAGTCTAATTATATAATAATCACACGTCGGTTAGTAATAAATATGGACATTGAATTCCTTAACAACGTCGGTTATTAACCGTCGTTGTTGATTGTACAAAAGATGGCGGTCGATTTCACGACGGTTGGAAAACCTTCTACATTACGGTGGTTTCCCGTCGTCTATTTCGATTTTTGTAGTAGTGCGAATTTTAGGTGAATTTCCAAAGCAACTTTGTAGACTACCAAGGTTGCTTTATGAACCAATTGCATCTCAAGCAGAAGACCAATATGAATTTGCATTGCCCATCTTCAGCAACATAATAACTGCAAATCAAATTTTTCTTGCGCAAAAATTGTCTTCTTTTCCAACAATGATGGGCTTATCTGATAATAACATTAGTGGTTATATACCTGCTGAGATCGGCCAATTGCAACTTCTTCGTTGGCTGTCTCTTGGCTACAACAACTTCTCCGGCGTCATTCTAGACCAAATATCCAACTTGAAAAATTTAGAGATTTTGGACTTTATCATGAATCACTTGTTTGGAATAATTCCATCGTCATTGGCGAACCTTAATTTCTTGGAAGAATTTAATGCTTCATACAATAATCTTGAAGGACCAATACCAATAGGCACCTAGCTCCAAAGCTTCAGCGCTTCTGCCTTTGAGGGGAATCCAAAACTTTGTGGTGCCCCACTTCCAAATAAGTGAGGACCAAGTAAGGCCATTGATGCAAATAAAAAGAACAATAAAGACGTGGACAATGGACTTCATCAACTTCAGTGGTTTTATATTTTCGGGTAAATTACTCAAATAGTCCTCAAACTTGTACTCGATTTACATTTTGGTCCCTCAATTAAATTATTAGTCCAAATGGTCCGTTAACTATGTATTAATCGCTCCATTGGTCCTACCTTTACATTCTGTCAATGTTGCTGTTAAATATGAGGGCAAATTGGTCATTTTGTATATTAAAAGTAAATAAATACTGAAAAATGAAATAAAAACTCTCTCTCTCTCTCTCTCTCTCTCTCTCTCTCTCTACTCCCCCATGGCCACCACCCTCAAGCTCCAACCCCCAAACCCATCCCACAACCACTCTCCACCCAAACCCATCCAACAACCACCATCCAGGTTTTTTTTAAAAGTTTTGGGGTTTGAGTATGGCTATTGGTGGGGCGATAAGGTCGTTTGTGGCTGGCTACGTTGGGGCATCGATGGCTATCAGTGGGTGGGTGGCTGTGTGGGGTGCGACAAGAGGGTGGGTTGAGAAAGCTTTAATTGGTTGAGTACAAGTTTGTCATTCTTTTAGATTAATTGTGCAGGTTCACCTGAACCAGCATCTGACAAACAATTTTTTTATTCCAAGTTTGCTGATGAAGGTTAGTTTTCCTATTTCCTAGCTCTGATCTGAGAGTTGCGCTGTCATGTAATTGTTCCCCAAAACTGTAGCTGCAAGTTTTCCTTTTTATTCTGTGGGAGCATAAATTGCCGATTTTGCAGCAGATTGGCCGTTGCATGAAGATGAGAGAGATGAGGGCAAAACACCACCTGTGAAAAGGAAGAAATCAAAGGAAAAGAAAGGAATCAAGAAGGAAGCTGAAGCAAAAAGTGGAAACAAGGTTGAGGCTAGACGAAGAGAGTGGGGTTGTTGGGGCTAGGGAAAATATTTTTGTTTTGTTTTGTTTTGTTTTGTAACGCTATTTTATTTGTTAATTATGAAAAGTCGTATTTACCCTAAAATTTGGTTAGATTTAACAGAAAATTAGACGGTAGGACCAATGGAGCGATTAATACATAGTTAATGGACCATTTGGACTAATAATTTAATTGATAGACCAAAATGTAAATCGAGTACAAGTTTGAGGACCATTTGAGTAATTTACCCTATATTTTCACTGCGTCGGGGTTCGTAGTGAGATTTTGGGGAGTTTGTGTTTCTTTAATTATTAACAAGACATTGAGATACACATATTTTCGATTCATAGACAATCTACAAGATATGGTCTATGTGATGGTAACAGTGCGCATCAACACGATGAAAAAAAGGCTTAGAGGTTAGATATATATTATTAATATTGTACTTTTTATTTTGCATACTCAGTCTAAAGATGTGAAAACTGAAGTATATGCATGTAATACGGTTGTCAATTGTGAAGGATTGATGTCTATGTCTCAGTAACGAAGATTAATGTCTATTGCTAATTTAGAAAAATAAAAAATAAAAATCTGCTGAATGTGAAAGTGCAGTTGCCTTCTTGTGGGGCAAACTTGGAAAGAATGACTATCCTTCAATTTCGAATTTTCTTAGAAGAATCATCAACAAGAAAAACAACTTTGAACTTGGACTTTGAGTTATTAACATGGAAGATGCGCTGGTATCACTTGTCTTCCAGCGTGGATATTTCTCTCTTCAACGTATAGTTATGGTTGTTTGCTAATTTCTTACTTTGCGCACTTTGAAGGCCTTGTGGACTTTAAATTAAGTAGGTCAAATCCACTCCTGGTCGCATTAGTGGGAATATCTCTTAAGACCCAATGAGGTCTTCTCTCTGGTTTCATTAGTGGGAATATCTCTTCAACCACACAATTTGCATTGTGGTTGTCGTTTGCGGACTTCTCAATTTGTACTTATGTTTGTGTCCTTTTCAAGCATCATTGCTCTTATATATGCAACTACATGTGAGCAACGGCACATACACAAAGCAACATGCTAGTGCAAGCTTATAACCTAATGGCTCATGGCTTCCTTCTCTTCCTCTTATTCTCTTACATTATATCTATAAGTATCCAACACAGATATATCAATAGAAATATTGAGAAAATATCGATATCGGTAAAAATTGAATAAAAAATATGGAAATTACGAGAAAAACTTGGAAATTTTTATTGAAACTTTAGAGGATGTTTATTTAGTCAATTATCTACTATTTTATCACAAAAAATTGGAAGGAAATGCATTGCATGGTGGGTATGAGTGATTTAAATTAACTATATAGCGAACTAACAAATACTATCACTTTAGCAAATTTGTAGTAATTAATGAGAGAAAATTAAAAACACCATAATTTTTTTATATATATAATAATTTACTACATCTTCTTCCTCTTATCGTGGGGTGATTTTTGTTCTTCTCTCTTATGATTAGTTTCTTCACTCAGGTCATACTGATGGGAGGTCTCTCCCCAGTTTTCTTCTTCCTCTATTTGTCTCCAATAGTTTTCTCCCTTCCTAAGGCTATTGGATTTTTCTTCCAATGTATTTAGCAGCAACCTTGCTCCTGGGCTAGGGAAGTGTTCCAAATTGCAGGTTTTTCATGCTGGTCACAATAACCTCTCAGGATTATTTCCAGAAGACATTTATAATGCTACCAGACTTGAAGAAATTGCATTGCCTCTCAATTCACTACATGGAGCCATTAGTGATAAAATTGTCAACCTCACTAACCTTGCAACCCTTGATATCACTACTACAAAAATTGAAATAAACGACGGGAAAACACCGTCGTCTTTTTCTTTTTCAAACCGTCGTTAAATCGATCGTCATCTTTTTGACTGTCAAACTACGACGGTAATTAACCGTTTTCTATTATATGTAAAAACGATGGTTTTTAAAAGAACCGTCGTCTATTACATACAAAGACGACGGTATTTTGTTAAAAAGCGTCATTGATTGTATATAAAGGTGACGGTATTGTGTTAAAACAGTCAGTGATTATTTGTACAAACGACGGTTTTTTCAATAAAACCATCGTTTTATTTTCTTTAAATATGTCGTCTAATAAGTTCCCAAGCTGTTACATTCTAGTTTTTTGTTTCCAATGATTCTATACAACGATTTTAACTAGAAAACCAATTATAACACTTTATTAATGAATATATATACTCAAAAATTATTTCTTACATAAAACTTGAAGATTCAATTTTATTACATAGAATTAGAAACAGTGGAACTACATGTGATTACTCACAAATTCTATCACATCCATAGATGATACATGAATTACATGGTTCCTAATATTAACCTTTTCTCTTTCCTTTCTTATTCTGTACTCAACATATAGCAAAGCCTTTCTTCCTCCCTTCAATTGCTATAGTCCAATGCCCCTTCTCCTGTATCTTCCCCAACATCTCATTCTTTGTTTGGCAACTTTTTCCCTCTCTTTCAATGCCTTCCCTGCTCCATAAAAAAAAAAAGCACCCAATAACAAAAATACTTAAAGTGAAGAAAATGAAAATACCTCGTGAAAAAAATTAATCAAATAACTTGTTAATTTGTTGTCAAGATCCTACAGGAAAACAATATTAGGATCAATACATAGCACATCTTTGTAATTAGAAATTATTTGAGCAATGAACAAACAGGATTCAAATCTCTCTTACTTCCTCCCAAAAGACCAAGAAATGAATTGAATGTAATGAAGAAATTTGAATGCTATGAGAACTCAATTTTCTGGGACTCAAGTGAACTGAAATGAACTTTGTGCAGAAAAACAGAGATTCAGTGGTATACTTATATTAGAACACAAAGTTCAATACATTCCAGACTTATAATACAACAAATAGCATAGGCTTTCAATAGAAAATCCTAAAGCTTAGAGCCATTACCCTTTTTTTTTGCAATTCCTGGAGAGACTTATTTCATCAAGTAAAAGAAATACTCTGACTCAACTTATAGTTCAAAAGAGCTGCACATAAAAAACAATTAGGGGAAAAAGAAAGTCAGCCAAATTCAGGGACATAGACATAAAAAAATTTCAAGTTTCATGTGTTTATTTTCTAGAGTTAAAAGACAAAATAAAGTGCAGGAATGACATTGAGAGTGAAAAGAAAAAACCAACTCTTAGAAAACACTCCGAGTCCACAAATCTCCATCATCACCATGTCATTGTTGTTATACATATGCAGATAAATACACAAACACAATTACACAAATTGCTCTTTGCTTCGCATCTCATCTCCAAACCAACCACGCACAAGCAACAATGAAAGATTTAAAACAAAGTCCATTTATATTTCAAACATCACAATCAGAAAACACTATAACTACTACAAGTCCCAAATATTTTAAGGGAAGAGAATAATCACATAGTATTTTATTGTTGTATTTGTCTTCTTCCAGTCCCAAATGTTGTGCACCAATGCTATATTCATTATTTTAAAAAAATAAATATTAAGGAAGGGGGAAGAAAACTCTACTTCAGGGGTCATCTAAGAATTGAAAGTTTCAAAATCTTCCATTACCCACACCCACCTATACTTGCATTCTTTTATTTGTTTTAAGCAGGCCTGCACATAGTATCAGAAAATTATAGATCACACATGGGCTAGAGATCAGAAACCACAACTAAAAACAAAGTTTCAAGAAACCAAATACTTAAATATGAAATGTATAACGATGACAATCAAAATACCTACACTCATAGACATGAGCTACATGAGTAAGCACTGTGAATAACACAAGATGAAATTTACAGTCCTGTTCTTATTCATTTGTTTTGACTGCCTTTCCCAAATTCAGAGTTCCTCTCTCGATTCCCAAACACCTATTTACAGCAAATGTCAAACCAAAGAAAATTTGTGTATATAATCTCAAAACTAAGGAATAGAACAACATTGCTGAAATAAAAACCCAAAAATAAAATCCCCGAAGCCCCAAAATCCACAGAAACAGAAAAACACATAGAAGTAATGAATTTAATTTTCAACCAACCTGTTCCCAAGTCGCTTCAAGAAAATCCAAGCCAATGTGAAACTTTATTGCACAGCAAAACTAGGTCATTAATAGGAAAATAAACGAAAACTTCAAAAATTCGTAAATCAACATAAATCTAAGACCCAGAAGTGAAATCGGAATTAAAAAAAACAAATGAAATTGCATAAATGGCATGAGCCGTGTTCTTGTAAGTTGGAAGATTGGAGACTTGACCATCGTGGAATTGAAATCTCGTACTTACGTCCAGAGGATGCATCGCGGTGTTGGTGGCAAACCCAGCGACGGCGCCGACGATGGCGGTCTCCCACTGCCACTACGACGCCGACGACGTTTGAATTGCACGGCAGATTGAAAAGCTTGATCTTCGGACTACAGCGGCAGCCGCCAGGTCTGGAACAACCACTGTTACCTTGTGCTGTGATTTTTCTCTGCAGTCGCTCATATAACGCCGTCGTTTCAGGATTTCAAATCGAAACCACTAGGTCTTGTACCAGTAACGAATGACTACCGAGGGAAGAGAGATGTGACGACGAAGTTGGGTTATCGATTTCGACGGAGGAGTCTCTCTTGGAGGTCTGGTCGAGGGCAAGAGTTGAGGGAGGGAGAGAGATGAGGAAAATTAGGAAGATTTGAGAGTTCAAAGGGCACCACGAGAGTTCAGGAGTGAATGTTTTCGAGCTAGCGTGTTTCGACAAAAGAAAAAAGAGCTAGCGTGTTTTAAAAACGACGTTTGTAATTTACAAGCGTCGTGTTTTAAAACCCAAATTGATTTTAGTGGTGTATAAGATGGTATACTACGACAGTTTTGTAAAATCGTCGTCTTTTAAAATACAACCACGGTTTTAAGCTTCACCGTCGTCTATTTAGTGTCGTGGTTTTACAATTTTGTAGTAGTGTATCTTCTATAATCATTTCAGCGGTGAGGTTCCTCTCAATTTGGGAAAGCTATCTAAGTTGAAGTTTGTGACCCTTGATTTCAACAATTTAGAAGGTGCTTTGCCCCCATCTTTGATGAATTGCACAAACCTTGTAGAATTGCGTTTGGGATCCAACAACTTGGAAGGAGATATCTCCATGCTTGATTTTTCCAGACTTAGTCAACTTACTAAACTTGACCAAAGGAAGAATAACTTCACTGGTACAGTTCCAAGAAACATTTACTCATGTAGGTCCCTAAAAGCCATTGGATTGTTCGGAAATCATTTAGAGGGACAAATAGAAGCTGAGATTCTTTCATTGAAATTCTTGTCCTTCCTCTCTCTTGGTTACAACCGATTCACCAACCTCACAGGGGCAATGAAGATATTGATGAGTTGCAAAAGTCTTCACGCACTCTTGCTTAGTGGTTCCTTTGTGGGTGAGGGAATGCCATCTGATGATGACATGGTTGATTTTCTTGGATTCCAAAATCTTCGATTGTTGAGTTTGGCTAATTCTGACCTCATTGGTAAGATACCTTTATGGTTATCAAAGCTCAAGAATCTAGAGATCTTGGCTCTTGGTTCTAATCAAATCACAGGACCAATTCCAAGTTGGTTGGGGACTCTTCCTAGACTGTTTTCTATAAGCTTGTTAGACAACCGAATTTCAGGTGAATTTCCAAAGCAACTTTGTCAACTACCAAGGTTGCTTTATGAACCTAATATTGCATCTCAAGCAGACCAATATGAATTTGAATTGCTTGTCTTCAGCTTCAAAATAAACACAAATCAAACTTTTCCTATGCAGAAATTGTCTTTTTATACAGTAACGATAGACTTATCTAACAACAACATCAGTGGTTATATACCCGTTGAGATTGGCCAATTGCAGCTTCTTTGCTGGTTGTCTCTTCACTCCAACAACTTCTCCGGCATCATTTCAGACCAAATATCTCACCTAAAAAATTTAGAGGTTTTGGACCTCTCCATGAATCACTTGTCTGGAATAATCCCATCATCGTTGGCGAGTCTTAATTTCTTGAAAGAATTTAATGCCTCATACAATAATCTTGAAGGACCAATACCAACAGGCACCCAGCTCCAAAGCTTCAACGCTTCTGCCTTTGAGGGGAATATCAAAAACTTTGCGGTGCCCCACTTCCAAATAAGTGCAGACCAAATAAGGACATGGATGCAGATAACAAGAACAACAAAGACAAGGGCAATGGGCATCATCAACTTCCATGGTTTTATATTTTCACTGCGTTGGGGTTCATTGTGGGATTTTGGGGAGTCTGTGGTTCTTTAATTATTATCAAGACATGGAGATACGCATATTTTCGATTCATAGACAATCCACAAGATAAGGTCTATGTGATGGTAACAGTGCGCATCAACCTGATGAAAAAAAGGCTTAGAGGCTAGATACATATATTACTAATGTTGTACTTTTTATTTTGCATTTTCAGTTTGCTTTTCGTGTTTTTTTTCTTCTTTTGAAAGTAACTGGACTCAAATTTAAAGGATATATGTTGTTCTGTTCATAAAGTTATGTGGGAATTTGTACTTAACTGTTGATTTGCCCCCTGAACTTGTACCTATCTTTCGATTTGCCCCTATCCTCTTTTTGGAAAATTATTGATATGAACTTTTATTTTTCACTAATTTCCTTCTTGCCGTCTAAATCCTCAACATTTCATCTAATTTGCTATTAAATATGTGGGAAAATTTGGTCAATTTGTACATTAAAAATTACTAAATACTGAAAAATAAAATAACATGAAATATGAAATAGAAAAAATAGAAGATTTTTTAATAAAATCAACCCAACACTCTCGCAACCTTCTCTCTCTCTCTCTCTCTCCCTCCCTCCTCCCCCAAATTCCATCCAATTCCACTCAACCACTACCCTAATTCCAACTCACGAAGCCATCAACACCTACCTTTAATTTCAAAGACTTAACAGGATTGTTTTCACCAATGAAGCAATACACATTTGTTATTTTAAATACCCATTTGACTTGGCCATTGATAGGCTACGAGACATAGAGGAAAACATTATCATATTTATGGATGCTATTTCCATCCCTCTGTTCTATTTCTCCACCTACCTTATTCGCAATATTTTAAAAACAAGTTTATCAACACCTAAGAAAAGCTAGAAACTAAACTTATTTGAAGAATTAATCCAACGTGGATGCTAACATGTAATACCCCGAAAAATTCAAGGTGGATTTTCATATTTTAGTGAAATATAATATTATGGTGGAGAATGATTATGGGTATTTTTATCAAGTGATTTTGGATTGAGATTATTAAATTAAGTGTGTTTAATTTGAAGTTGGACAAAAATGACCAAAAAAATACCCCTATGTGTGAAAAATATACCAAAATACCACAAAAAAAAAAAAAAAAAAAAAAAAAAAAAAAAAAAAACGTGGAGGGCATCAAACCACCCTCCTCCCATTCTTCCGCCCTTGCCTCAAGCTTTCAAATCCACCATTTATGAAAGGATGAATCGCCTGTTCTAAATTGATGACTCACCTAGCCTAAGATTCTTCAATCATGAATTTATTCTTATCCCCATCATTCATTGTATCATCACTCTCTTCCTCATTCACAATATTTTCATCCTCATTCTTCTTTTGTTCCTCTTCAAAATCCAAAATTCGTCACTTCCTTGGAGCAGCCAAGAACTCAAATATCGAAAGCTCAAATGAGAAAACGTCCTTCATAAAAGTTGTTCATTTACGTGATTCCTATAACATGCTTCAATTTCACCTCAATCCGACAAGTACAAACTCCAAAAAGTTGGTATGACCACAATAAGTTTACCATTTCCTGATTTCATAGTAGTATCTGATGAGTCGATTTTATATTATATATTTAACCCAATTCTTAGTATATTTTGGTTAATATTTTGGAAGAATTTTGATACTTTGAATTATATTTCCAATATAGGACTTTCGACTTCCTCTGGAGCAAAACATAATCAAATGAACGAATTTTGGAGTAATACCAGTTGGAGGATGTACGTCGTTTCAAAATATCAGACTGTTCCACCAAGCGATGATTTCTTGGTGAATAAATGAAGGAGCGATGTGCAGTGCTGGAATAGTGACTTTTTGGGCTTTTATTGCGTTTTTGGAGCCCAAGATGAACTCAGATGGGTTCGTGGCCTTCTGGAGAAGTGTTCGGAATATTTTTATCTTTAAAACGAGCTATCTTGGGCTAGATTTGGAGGAGATTTGAGGCCAAAACGTGGCTGGGCAGATTGTGGGCAGATTCTCCTAATCCAATTTGGACTTTATTTCCTAGTCTTATTTTGTTTTAACTTAGTTTCCTTGTGGGGATTTGGTAGCTAGGTTTTAGGAGGTATTTAAGCTCCTTTTCACAACAATTTAGGGACGCCCTTTTTGACTTATTTTTGGCTTTTGGAGCAATTGCTAGGGTTTTGGATTTTCGCGACTTTCAGGTGTTCTCATTCTTATTCTTCTTAATGATATTTTCATGGATTTCAATTATGATTATGTGTAACTAATTCTCTTTTGCTAGGGTGAAGCCTTGAACCTTAGCATGAATTTGTGATTTTTATTTAATTGCTTATGATTGAGTGCATGCCTACTTTGAATTATTAATCACTGTTTTAAACTATCTAATTGTCTTAATGCCTGATCACCATTAGGATCTTTAGAAAAGTAATTAGATGCAATTTTGGTCGGAAGGTTCCCTGAAATTGATGCTAGCTTCTTGTGATTAATAATTGTAATTTTACTTAAGATGAACACCACGTCTTAAGGATTGCTTGGTTTTTCAAAGGGTTTTCACAAAACTGAATGAGTCTTTCATGTTCAGATTTGATCTGAACGTCCGGACGGGTTGCATGTTAGATATACGTTCTATGTTGGAGGTTCCAAGTAGAATATAAATTAGGAAAACCTAACCTTTAAAGTGGCATGTGCAAATCATAAGTAATTGGTAAAAATTCATAGGATTGCTAGGTGATGGTGGAACCCTAGTGCTTTTATAAATTGGTATTTTAAAACTCTTTCTTCCAATTTGATTTGTTTCTGTTTAAAATTTGTTTTTAGTATCACACAAGTTCATATTCATCTCTCTACTTTTAATTTTAGGTAGTTAATTAGAAATTGTTTTCACATAAATTGCTAAATAGTCCTTGAGGAGAACGACCTTGCATGAGCATCTATACTACAATAGCCTTGTATTCTTGCAAGTATTTTATGTGATTTTAACCTTATTTGCACAGGTACTAAAAATCCTATTAGTATGCTCGGTTTCAATATGTTTCTGTGATTTTCTATACTCAAATGACTTTGGTTCTTTCATCAAAGTTGTTTGAAATGTTGTCTATTATAATATATCAAAATTTTAGGTTTATCAGACTTTTATAGGCACTTCGGGAATGTTTAGAGTGGAACTTGTTTATAGTCTTCGACCCTAGTTCCTTCCCTCGGTTTCAGTCCAAAACAATCATTTCAAAAGCTCAAAACACCATAGTTTCTTCATGATAGTTACTCCAAATTCTCCTCTTTATAACAGATCCAAAGGTCAGCAAAACACAACCATTATAACTCTCTAAAAATTGGTATGAACAAAACTTGTTCATTGATTATGTTGAATTTCTTGTTATAAATGTGTACTTTCTCTCAAATGGCTTGTTACTTATGATTCCATTGATCAAATTAGCCACTATCATCTCAAGTAAATGATTCTTTGAAGGTATGAAGCTCATCTTCATATTGTCTCTTTGAGTACTAGTTGTAAATCAAGTGTTGGTTAGAATGCCTCAATGGCATATATATTTCTTTCAAAGTGTGTTTCTATGAAGTTCTAGATTATTTCGATGTGATTTTGTGCCAATTTCATTCTGGGATTTTGTTACATCAAAATTGATATCTCAAGGGTTATTTCAAAGTTGGTTTTGTGTCATTTGAATTTAATTTGATTTTTTTTATGTGAAATTTCTAAGTAGAGACTATTCTGTTGGAATTGTTCTGATTCTTCCGCATGCCTTATTTTGAATACGTGTTTGAAAACTTCATGAACTTGGATTTTCATGAAATTTTAATATGTTTTACTTTCACGTATCTTCTTCAGATATGGAAAGTTTTATCTTGTTTGGTTGTAAATTGAAATTTTGGTGATTTTTCAAAACAAGTGTACAAACCTTAAAAAAAGAACATTCTACAGCCCAGTCTGTTTTGGTTTCTATTTTGACATGCTTCCTTAACCCTAATTTCCATCAAATTTTCTATTCTAGTTATGATCTGAAATTTTTTACATTATTTTGTTTTAAACTCAATATTTAGTGAATTTTCAAAGTTAAGGTGTTCCAACCTAAAAGGTTAGCAAAACTGTAGTTTTTGTTTTAAATTGATGTTTTAAATTTTCTGTATATGTCTAGAGCCAAATCACCTTATTTTAAACATCCCAAAGAGTAGAACTATTATAGGAGGGGAATAGATTGGTTTTTCCTTGACGCTTGGTTTTATGCTTGCTTGGACGTGAGGTTAAGGGAAGTAACAATCGGGTCGAACAATTTGTCAAGGGTATTATGGAGCTTTAGGTCTACATGTGCCATTAGGACACTCAAACGTGTTTCCTTATTTCCAGTGAATTTTAATCAGTAAATTATCTTAACTACGTGTTCTACTGTACATACGTTTAAGGATGAACCTGCACAAGGTTAAGCTAGCTGGACATGAGTTAGGGTTTCCTAATTTCCCAATGATTGGGCTATGTCACTTTTACTCTTGGTACTTATACATAGTACTATAAATATGAATATTATTGTTGCTTTGCTTGGTGAATATTATTTGATGTTATGTAAATATTATTATTAATCTTTCTCTGTGGATATTATTTGATGTTGGGTGAATATTATTATTCATGTCATTAAGCCTGATATATATTATCGTTATTATTTGTATTATTATTTTGTAGAGATAATGAGGTTTGCACTGCATTACATATGCATCATAAATACAATGGTGTTTGGGGGTGTGTGTGTCGTTTGAGGTACATCTAATGGGTGGGAGAAGGCCTTAGATATATCTGAGTAAAAAAAATGTGGAATATATTCAGGTGAAGGGAGCAAGGCTTGAATATATTGAGGTGATGGGAATAGGGCCTCTAATGAAAAGTGAAAGTTGAGAAATTCGTAAACAAAAGAAAAATGGTTTAAGGGACGGACGGCCACTAGTTCTTATTTTAGGGTATTCGGAGCCACAGTGGTAAAACGCATGGTATGGGACATGCAGGCTTGTTACCCTAATGCATGAATTAGTG